ATGGTGAAATTACATCTCTACTAAAAAGACAAAAATTAGCCGGGCGTGGTGGTGTGTGCTTGTAGGCCCAGCTACTGGGGAGGCTGAGGCGGAAGAATCACTTGAACTGGGAGGCAGAGATTGCAGTGAGCCAAGATTGCACCACTGCACTCCAGACTGGTGACAGAGCGAGACTCCATCTCAAAAAAAAAAAAAAAAAGATGGAAGTATATGTTTTATTTAAGGTTTAAAGATCAACAGTTGTTGGCTTGTCTCAATCTTTTATAAGCAATTATTTATCACGGTGGCTGAAAGAGCTGGTTACATCTGCAGTGGTGTTTCTCTTTTAATTAAACACCTGCTGTGTTAGTTATCTGCTGCGGAACGTATTTCCACAGGTGCCAAGGCTTCAAGTGTCCCGATCCCAGACACTTGATTTTCTAGTGTCTGGGATCGGGAATCTGGGCATAGCTTAGCTGGGTCCTCTGCTCTGGGCTCTTAGGCTGTAGGTGTGATGTCACCAAGGACAGGGGGCTCATCTGGGGCCTGACTGAGGAAGGACCTACTTCCAAGTGCCTTCAGTTGGCAGCAGCAGGATCCACTTCCTTCCGGCCTGCTGGGCTGGGAGCCTCAGTTCACACAGCTGGCTGCCGGTCAATTCCGGCCTCACTTGATTCCTTGTTACGTGGCCCTGCCTGGGATGGCAGCTTGCTTTACTGAGGCCAGCAAGGGAGGGTCTGATAGCAAGACAAGAGTTGGAATCTTTTGTGATGGTATCAGGCAGGTGGAATTTCCCTCAATGTGGAGGCCTTCTATTGATTCGAAACAAGGGCTGGAGGGAAGGAATGCACAAGGCCACGCAGGGACCACTGTGGCCCACCTTAGAAGCTGCCTAAGCATCCACATATTTCTTACTCTAATAATCCTTTTACAAAGGAACTATTTTTAGAATGGCATTGCTCTGAACATTTTTAAAGCTATCTGCTCATTCTCCTATCCATGCTCAGGTAATACAGGAAACAGTATAAAAATGCAAAACAACAAACTAATCCTTATTTTAAAGAAAAATAAATTGATATCAAACAATTTCCCCAAAAGTGGTCCTGTGGGATTTTTGGACCTAGAAGGAGGTGTGGAGCAAGGAGTCCCAAGTGTGTACGACAGTGACACCAGACAGCGAACTGATGAGAAGCTGGGCCTGTTTGTGGGGTTCGCAAAGTGGCATTTTGAAATTCAGTAAAAGCCAACTAGCAAACCTAAACACTTGCCTAAAAGTTTAAGAGTGAGTACAATTATCAGACACCAAGTGAATCTGCTCTGAGAGTTTAGGAAGCAACAATATAACACCCACACATCCTAACCAAGGTGGGTATCAAAAATGTGCAGTGGCCAGGAAATGGACCTTTAAGAGAACTGACAAGTGGGTTTTCATTAATGGAAAAGACACATTTTTAAAAAGTCTAATTCAGGAAGAGGCCGGGAAAATAGTTTTTCACTTTAGAGCAAGGCTTCCATCAACCCTCCATAAAATAATATGTGAAATATCAAAATTTAGAAAAATTAATACTGAAGATGGGGAATGTTAAGAAACAGCAAAGAGAACAAGTTCACAATTGTGAGAAACAGCCCAATGTAATTCTGCCCAGAAATCTGTGTGCCAAAAAAATCTATGTATTGTATATACAAAATCATCCCAACCTCAGTTTTATTGAAAACTAAAAAGAAATGCTCTCGTACACAGTCTCGTTTCTGGACTCATTAGATCAGTAATGAGGCACATTCATCATCACTGAGCTCTACAGAACTTTAGGTTTTGCCTGGAAAATGTCTTACCTACTTGACAAGAGAAGCATCCTCACTCCTGTGGACTCCAGTAAGCTAAGCTGGCAGGACACATTAACTTGTGATCCTAGGGTGGCTTTACGACCAAACACAAACTTTTAAAAGGAGCCATATACTAATACTACATTTTCTCTATGCTAAGAACAGTTTCTAACATCTGTAATTGGGTACCCAAGTCAGAAAAAAACCAAGGTTTGAATCCCATCTCAAACTTTTTAGCTGTGTGACTTTTAGTTTATCACTTAACCCCTGAGCCTGACTTTATTTACGTAATACAAGTATCAACTCCATGGGCCAGACCAGACCCAGCCCCAGCCTCCTATAAATCCATCTGTCTGTCCACAGATGCCACTATGGAGAGACAATCGTAGGAGGAAGGGCTCTGTCCCTCCTCTCCACTCTCAGGTCCCTCTGCCATAAAAAGCCCAATCTCTATAAAGCTGTTGAGAATGGGTACCACAGCACACAGAGAGCACGTAGGACACCGCCTGGCACATAGGAGGCACTCAGTACACTTAGCTGTTTTACTACTAGGAAATTCGTTCTGGGGACACGTAAAAAACTGGTAAGAATCTTGGGGCAAGGGTAGAGGCCCTCCTGAGAACACGGTGTTTACTGGGTGTGGGGAGAAACAGCTGGGCATCGGCAGCAGGGCGGTAAGCAAACAGCCTTGCAGAACAGGAGGGTGTGGCAAACGCACCAGAGCCGCTGGTGCTGAAGATGCGGGTGAGCAGGGCCGGCCAGTTCTCCCATCACACAGAGCTCACATTCCATGGGAGAGAGAGCAAAGAAGCAGGAACAGATGTGGTAGACATGAGGGCGATACCACAATGGATGGTGTGATACACGGAGGAGGAGCTTGCCTTGGATGGAAGTTCTTTGAACATCTGAGAAGGGGAGCTGGCCATGCCAAAGCCTGGGGAAGAACCTGAGACACCAGCACTGAGCTGGCTGGAAGAGCAGGGAGGCCGCTCAGCTGGAGCTCAGGGAGGATGGCGGTGGCCAGGGGTGAGGGCCTTCAGACTGCAGGAAGGAGCCTGGGCTTTAGGCTATGTGCAGGCAATTATCCTCATACAGGAGCAGGGAATGTAGACTCTGGTTTACCTCTTTCAAAAGGTAACTCTGCCCTCTGTGGAGAGAGGGCTCTGGAGCTAAGAGCAAGCAGGTGGTCTGGTGAGAGGACGACTGCAGTGGCCTCAGAGATGACTGAGCTCAGGCTACTGTGGTTGGTGCTAAGATTTGTTAGGGGCAGGCTCATTTTAGAGGGAGTGATGTGAGGGTCTGCGGGTAAGGAAATGGGTAGGTAGAATGAGGAAAGCAAGGAGAAGCCCATGAGGGAGGGAGGGAATCAGAAGTTTGAGCTGCCTACATGGTAAACAAATGGAAACGTCCGGCTTGATACACAAGTCAGGAGCTCAGAGGAGAGGTGGAGACTCAGTATATCAATGTGGGAAGGGATGGGAAGGAACAAAGACAGTTCTCAGGTGGAAGGCTCACTAAAGCCAAGCCTCTGCTGCAATCTTGCCTGGGCACTGCTCTTCCACGTTGGCAGCTGTCACAAAGACAGCGTAGTCTGCATTTGCTTTAGGAGTGGTGACTGGTTGCACAAATCATTTGTCCATATCCACCTGCTTTTAAAATGCCAAGCACCATGTTTCCAAATCACAGAGGCATAGGACAAACTGCAGATCCATGAAAGTCACTTTTTTTTTTTTTTTTAAATGTTTTATACATCTGAGCAGAGAAAGTCACTTTTAAAGAAGAGTCACCTTTGGCTGGGCACAGTGGCTCATGCCTGTAATCCCAGCACTTTGGGAGGCTGAGGCGTGAATCACCTAAGGTCAGGAGTCTGAGACCAGCCTGGCCAAAACGGTGAAACCCTGTCTCTCTACTAAAAACACAAAAATTAGCTGGGCATAGTGGTGGGTGCCTGTAATCCCAGGTACTTGGGAGGCTGAGACATGAGAATCACTTGAACGCCAGGAGGAAGTCGTAGTGAGCCGAGATTGTGCCACTGTACTCCAGCCTGGATGACAGAGCTAGAGTCTGTCTCAAAATAAGAACAAAAGAAAGAGTCACCTTTGCAGTTTTGTCATTTAACCCTGTTTTTTTGAACTTCTGAGTATAAACTGAAAGAAAGGCAAAGTAACCGTTGCACCAAATTGGAACTATTATGACCATTAGGAACTGACCTTGGCAAACACTTAAAAGACCATGCCGAACAGTCTTAAAAAGCAATAGCTTTTAAAACTTTTAAGGCTGAATGTAGTCAAGTAAGTACAAATTCAAGTATGAAGTCATCTCATATTTGATGTACAAAACCTAGAAATCAAGCAGTATCAGTAAAAGTATCACCCGTTTAACTTGTAGGAAAAAAAAATGTTTTTACAAGTTTGATTTCTAAGCAAAAATTACTCGGCAAAAGTAAAATGAGGTAGAAGAAGAAAGAAGGGATTTGTCTTTCTCTCAAGCTCACAATCACTGCTCTTCAGCTGTAATTGGCTTAAGTCATCCGGCCGGCTTTCTACAAGTCCCCAGGTCTTCCCACTCCACATAATATCCAATTCTGATCATCCCTGAGCTACTACATAAATCTGGGATTCTGTTGCTTCAAAGTCGAAGGCAAAGAGCTGAGGCTCAGAAAGCTTCATCGGGTGACTCTCTAGTAATGGTGAGAAGAGCAATTAATAGCCACATTCCTCCTGGGTAAAACCATGTTGCTGCCTCAATCTCAAGCCTGCCACATAACGGGTTCTCAGGGCCTGCTGTCTCCCTCCCTGTGTCCACTGGAGTCTGCCTCATCTGCACCAGCTTCTGCAGCAGCTGTCCTGTCTAGCTTTACCTACAGCACATGAGCTCAAAGGAGAAGTAAAGACTCAAGATATCAACGTCGGAATCTCTCTGCTGTGTTTGCACAGACTGTGAAGACTTCCCTTCTCGGTAAAACAAGAACCAGCTGCTTGAAAGGTAAGTTGTCCTTTCTACTCTGGGAAACTAGCTAAAAGAAGAAACAGAGAAAGAATTTCTTAGCGAGAGGAAACTGTGTGATGGAGGATAAAAAAAATAACAGAACAGACCGAGAAGCTTGAAAATAATTAACAGAATAAAGTGATATTCTAATTTCTTTATGACAGCATAGAAAAAGACATGCTCACTGAAAAATTTCTGGATATACCACATTAAAATATGTGCCATATTTATTCAGAATATCATAATCAATACAAACACAGAGCTCTCTTCTCACCTGTAAAAGTTAAGTACAATACTGTAGGCTAGATACATGATATTTCAGTCAAGTCTTCAGTATTAGCTTGCAAAAACAAAAAAATTTACAATTATAGACATCCAATTTATCATACAAAATATATATACAAAAGCATAATTGTAGTGTAGAAAGATAAAGTTACCAAAATACAACTTATGTAATTTACTTTACACAAAAATGTATTCCAGTTAATTTTTTCCAAGAGCTTCACCAATTAGTCGAATAGCAATACTCTTGCCTTCATCTGTTTGAATGACAAGCAAAGCTTCGAATCTGCCCGTGGACTTTGGTTTGAACTGCACAGGCATGTTGATGTAATGCTGGGCTCTGGAAAGAGAGAAGCACATGACAGGGGCATGTCGTGGCAGCACCAGCAACCCCGTCCCAGGTAGCACAGGGCCTGGCTTAGGTATTGACGAAATAGCTTGGTCAAGTCACATGCAGCTTAAATGTATTTATACTTTATTTGATGCTATTATTTAATGAGAAAATGACACAAAGGAGAGAAAAATATAAAACTGGATTAAAACAATATTGCATACATATACATTTCCTGGCTATCCAGTAACTATTAATATGTAAAAAGGAAATAAGAAGTCTAAACTATCATACATACAGTTTGTATTCTGCTTGCAAAAGCTATCTACCTAAGAAAGGGGAAATGCCCTTGTTTTACTCAGTCCAGACAGCATACTGTACTGGAAAGATTAAAACAACTTGTCCCAATCCTATAATTAATGGGCTGTGCAGATTTTGCTGTAAAATTCATATGAAACTTTTTGTTTTTTGAGATGGAGCTTCACTCTTGTCGCCCAGGCTGGAGTGCAATGGCATGATCTTGGCTCACTGCACCCTCTGCCTCCCGGGTTCAACCGATTCTCCTGCCTCAGGCTCCCAAGTAGTGGGATTACAGGCGCCCGCCACCGCACCCGCTAATTTTTATATTTTTAGTAGAGACGGGGTTTCACCATGTCGGCCAGGCTAGTCTCAAACTCCTGGCCTAAAGTGATCTGGGTCCCCTTGGCCTCCCAAAGTACTGGGATTACAGGCGTGAACCACCACACCTGGCCCAAAACTCTCATCAAAAATCCTCTAGAAACTTTACATTCAAATTACAGTATAGAGAGGCAGGTAATGAGTGCCCTATGGTTAAAAATAGTATTCTGGAGGGTTTGTTTTGTCACTAAAACTATGTCCTAAGAGCTTCAAAATACGCCTGTAGTACAGTGGCGAATGAGGCTACATACACATTACATACAGCCCATGTGATGTCATCAACCTCTAGGCTTGGCCATTTTTAAGTGAAAATTTTGGGCTCACAGGTAAGGTACTTCATCCCTTAGTCTTGTCTCAGAGTTGTGTGTTTTAAAGCCTGGCAACCAGAGTGATGGACGTTTCAGTTTCCAGCATCTGTCCTGAAAAACCCAGCAGTGTAGGCTCTTAGGTGCACAAGAGTACACCAGGCACAAGGTTTAGAAAACAGCTACAGTATTTCAAAGCCCTTTTCCTGTATATAACTGATAACACAAATAACATATATTCTTAAATATATCTACATAGACCAAAGGTGTTTATGTGTATCTCTATATATTTGTATTTAAAGTCTGGGTTATTTTCCCCAAACGCCATTATACTTGTTTTACCATGTCAAAGATAATATACTTAAAAAAAAAAAAAAAAATCAAATCTGGCCCATGGCACTAGCTACAATTTTCTCTTTCATGCTGGCAGGTCAATACTTGGATAAATATGGTACAATCTGCCTATTTAAGAGGCTTTACAACTTATGAATTACTAAAAATAATAAAATATCCCAAAACAAATCTCTGGAAGAGCTCATTATTAACAAATTTCATCACAGAATATAGAGTTGTTCTATATTCAGCTAAAAATGTAAAAGTGTATTGTGATAAGTCCTCTGAGCCCAGTGGGGAGGTCTAGTTCAGATTCTCTCTCTAACTAATGATGGATTGGACTGCAAAGGCACACAGAACAGAAACGCATCCAGGGAGCAGAGAGGCCATCGGGTTATGCATGCTTAGCGCCCAACTCCCCACAGGCCCCATCTACACAGAAAGGGCTTAGTGGAACCTACAAATTCTAGCAACCACACTTCCTCTTTCAAAACACTCATTAAAAAAAAAACAAAAACAAAAACAAACAAACAAAAACAACAACAACAAAAAACGGATTCTCGCTCTGTCACCCAGGCTGGAGTGCAGTGGCATGATATTGGCTCACTGCAACCTCCACCTACCAGGTTCAAGCAATTCTCCTGCCTCAGCCTCCTGAGTAGCTGGGACTACAGGCGTGCGCCACCATGCCCAGCTAATTTTTGTATTTTTAGTAGAGACAGGGTTTCACCATGTTGGCCAGGATGGTCTTGATCTCCTGACCTTGTGATCCGCCCGCCTTGGCCTCCCAAAGTCCTGGGATTACAGGCGTGAGCCACTGTGTCCAGCCTACTTTTTGTATTTTTACTAGAGGCAGGGTTTCACCATGTTGGCTAGGCTGTTGAACTCCTGACCTCAGGTGATCCACCCGCCTCGGCCTCCCAAAGTGTTGGGATTATGGGTGTGAGCCACCGTGTCCGGCCCAAAACATTTTTTTAAAGGAATACTTTCTACAAAAAAAAAAAAAGCCAGTATACTAGCACATACAAGGTACCACCATTATCAAAGAAACTCGAAAAGGTAATAAAATTTGGTTCCCACACATGGATGAAAAGACACTACAGCTCAATGATAACTCTTTTCCTTGGCTTGTCACTTTTCTAGGAACTGTCCTTCTCTCCCAAATTACATGCAGGGTCTGCCAGGACTGTGCAGCTTGCACTGTGTGAAGACATGAGGGTACAGCTGAGATGAAACCTATTAGCTACAACACCTCAGCTGGGATTAGATATGCATAAAACAATAGGTTAAGAGAAAGATGCTTTTTAGGACTAAGTAGAAACATAAACAAATTATTTTTAAAAAGATATAAGAAAGAGACGATCACTCAGAACCCTCAAAAAAGAAGCTTTACAAAAAAACCTGTTAGCAATGTTTCCTTTTCCCTATTACATTACTTACAATCTGCCATACATTTGTGTTCACCCACCTCTGCACTGGGCAAAACCCCTGCACCTTCTTGGGGGAACTCTTCTGCCTCCTTCTGCTGTAATCAGTTTACAGCCTATAGGGCACGGCCACTTTCCTGTGCTAGTGCCAGAGCTTACAGAGAGCAGCCCCACCAGGCCTCCTGGTGGCCTTGGAAAAAGTGCATATTTGTAAGTAATTATCTCATGTACCCTACAGATGACTACAATCCTATTATTACTTTGGAAATGTTTAATTAATGATGTCATAAAGAAGACAGTGATCTAACAAATGAAAAATGTGATTAACTAAAGGCTGGGAATTGCTTCTCAGGGCTTTAAAAGCACAGATTTTGTTCCACTGCCAAGGCAAGCTAACTGTTGTTCTCATCTGGCAATTATGTTTTCTGAGCCTTTGTCTGAAGTCACAGTGTCTCATGTTTGGGATAAATATAACAGCACACAATGCCATGAGTGCCTATGACTTTAGTTCTGTGGTAAGAACTGTCATTGGGGTTCCTGTAGCATCTGCCTCTACTGTCCTGCTACTTCTCCAAGGTCAACACAGGTCATTCTCTTGTTACAAAGGAGCCAGTGTTTCCACCTTTTTTGTGTAAAATTTACTTACAAAGTTTCCTGTAACCCAGAGTTTAGTTCCTTTGGTTAAATAGATCACAGAATTAGTGCTTTACACATGATTTTCTTACTCATACTTTACAAAATTTACAATGAGCTACTGCTATTAAAGCTACTGCTGAAATCTGTACTATTATGTATTTACAAAATAATTGATGAAGACTTTCTGGAAATTCATTGTAATCAGAATAACTTAAGTGTCTGCCACTAATAAAGTATAAAATTATTTTATTCAAATTTATCTTCATTTTAAAAGACTGAAATATGTTCAGAGTACAAACTATGCACTTTGAGATACTACTTTAACTTAATTAAACTGTCCAAATTTTGCTTAATTTAAAAATATTTTCTCATGTTTCTAGATTCTTTCAGATGCCATTAACATGACCCAGGCTGCACAGGAATGCAGTGCTCTAATTTATGACTCTAATTTTCAAGCCCTAGAATGGCAAATCAACAAGTTCATGTCCATAAAAATGTCTTTTAAATGACCAGCAAGGAACACATTTCATATCTCAAAAGTGGTTTACAGAAAACAAGCTGAAGCTAAGCAAAATGTCATCTCATTTATAAAATTTGAGTTTCTCATTAAAAATGTTTTAGGCATCTTTCAAAAACCCCCTTATCTGATTTCCACTCGGTTGGTCTTGTCCCTACACTCCATATCAGAAATAGACTATGCCATCTGTAGCACTATTGTGATGAAATAGGTTTAGGTTCTTTCTCTGGAAAGAGTCAAATCTGAATTGGCCCACAAATTTTGGCAGAAATGCAATTCATTAAAAAAATCTGTGAAGGCAAATTAAGCAAAGAATATAACATCAAAAAAGAATTTGAAATGACAACGTATTCAATAATGGAAGTTGGAAAATGAATGTTTAACTGCAAGAAAGTTTTGACTGCCTCATTCCTAGCCATAAAATGGAGAACAGTGACATAAAGCTGCAATTTAACAAGCTATTTTAAATAATGATTCTTTACCAAAACTACAGATGAGTATCAGGTATATGTAAATATTGTTTTTTTTAAAGTTGGTACTAGACTCTTCAAGGTAATTTATTTTATTTTTTATTTTCAACACTCAGGGGAAAAGGTAATTTTTCTAAATGAAACTTTGTTTAGAAGCTTTTAAAAATATTTTATTTATTTTTGAGGCAGCGTTTCACTCTTGGTGACCAGGCTGGAGTGCAATGGCGTGATCTTGGCTTGCCTCAGCCTCCCAAGTAGCTGGGATTACAGGCACCCCACCCCATGCCTGGATAATTTTTGTAGTTTTAGTAGAGATGGGGTTTCATTATGTTGGCCAGGCTGGTCCAAACTCCTGACCTCATGTGATCCACCCACCTTGGCCTCCCAAAGTGCTTGAATTACAGGTGTGAGCCACCATGCCTGGCCTAAAAAAAATATTTTTTAAGGTAAGAAGAGCTCCTTGAAATAAAAATCTAAAGTCATTCAAATTTGTGACAGATGTATGCCAGTTTATACAATTGATCCACTCACAGCACGTTTAAAAATATACCCTGCAAAAAGCTGGTTAAGATGTGGGATGTGAATCAATCTGAGGAAGCAGAATGAATAATGCAGTTATGATAAAATTTGAGTTTAGATAATAATAGTGTTCAGGATAATTTATTCAGTATCTATTTGGTACTCAGTTACTAAAAATAGTTATAACAATTAGGAATTTAAATGATCTTTTTCTGAATAAACTAATTGCCTCTGCAGTTGTGCTACCATGTATTTTAGTAGTTCCAACCTATTATTACGCACACTATGGCATCACTAGTCTCAAATCAATTGGGGCAGCCTAGAATAACTGGAGAGATCCACAGACTACTGTGAGAGGAGAGCTCAGATCTCAGAAGTTGGAAAACTTGGATTTGGTTGATTTTTAAACTTGGGCCTTTCTCTTCTATGTAGTTGTCATAGGGATTAAATGAAGAAACTAAGATAAGAAAGTGAAGTTCTATAAAAATTGTGGAGTGAGTGTTGATGCATCCTGCCAGCCAAGGTCATCTACAGGGGAGATTTAATGATGATCATGAGGAAGACATTAACACCTGCTGATGCTTGCTATGTCTGGGCACGTCTCTTAAATAATTCTCACAATTCTATGCTGTCAGTAGCACTGGCATCGCCATTTTACAAATAAGGAAATTGAGGCCAAAGAGTTTATCAAGTTTATGATAATTTTTAGATGTGTTCATTGTTGAATTTTCGGAACTAAAATCTATAGTTTGTGCCTTTAGGTCAGTCTCCTGGGAGGGAAAGGATGGGTTTAGCCCTCAAGCATATTAAAATATTTTATAGTCCATAGGAGAAGGAAGAGGTGGTACGAGGGAGAAAAGAATAAAAACAAAGAGTAAGGTAGAAGGAACAGTCTTCAATCAAGCCATCTTTCCAGTATCCAGAGCTGTAAGTGAGCTTCACTTGTACAGCACTGCTGGTCTTAGTAACTGATTAAATGACAGGCCCATAATGTTTGCAGAGTGGCCCAAATTTTCATAGAATATAACATGTTTCTGGAATAGTCTCCTAATCCTAAATTGGAGACATTACAATAATTAAATGACTTAAAAATTCAAAGATGAAATTAAAATTATTCTTCAGCATTAAGCCCAACAGAACCCTACTGTTAAGTTCTAAATAACAATGACAACCCAGTTTGATATTTCAACCTAAATGTGCATCATATAGAAAAGAAAATCAGCAAGGATGACAAGAAAATCAGGCCCTGATTAAGAACAGTATGGGGTGTCTGAAGGATGACAACTGAAAAACGCCACAATAAAAGTTTTCCCAATTAATCTAAAAAGGTTTTCATCCCAATTAATGAAAATCTAAGTCCTTGACTCTTAGCATACCAGTGAAAATAACATTTGAAACAGTAATTACGCTAAAAGTCAATCTTAAAATGATTACAGCTCTAAGATTTATGCGGCTACAAATCCTAGGTGGGAGGAGTCACACCAGCACAAATGCTGTGCACTGCAGCAAGGCTGAGTGCACCTCGGACAGTCAGGAGCTGTCCCCTGCAGGTTCCTTTTCTCTGCTTCGACTTGCAAACACACATGTGCTTAAACTGTTTGGTGCTGGTGAGAAATATGGAGGGGCTGCAGAGGAGGCCTCACAAGCCCCAACTTCCAAGAGACAAAGTCTGGCATCGCTGATGAGAGAACACTGTGATCTAAATAAACTTACCTCAAAGAGTACTTGGAATGTTTGACATAGAATGGCTCTCTGGGACTCAAAAACTTCAGCTGGAATAATAAAAAAAAAACTTTATAAAGTTATGAAAATTCGATATTTTAGCATATAAAAGCACAGCATGCATTTATTTATTACAGATACATTTTGTAAATTTAGGTATTGCCACAAAATTAGGTAGGACAACAGATGCTAATGTAATGAAAACAAATTTAAGACAATTTTAACATGAATTTACTTTGGTTTTAAGTAAAGGTTTTCCAAAAATATGTGTGTATAACAGTATAGAAGAAAAAAAGTTAAAAATTAAAATAAAAAAACAAATTTTTGAACTTCCAGTGTGTTTATTTTCAAATACAAAATTAAGGCATTTTGTGGGGGATGGGGCCAGGGTCTTGCTCTTTCATCCTGGCTGAAGTGCACTGGCACAATCATGGCTCACTGCAGTCTCAACCTCCCAGGCTAAAGACATCCTCTTCTCATCTCAGCACCCCAAAGCAGCTGAGACTACAGGCATGTGCCACCATGCCCAGCTAGTTGTTTTTTTTTTTCTTTTTGGTAGAGACGGAGTCTCACTATATTGCCCAGGTTGGTCTCAAACTCCTGGGATCAAGCAATCCTCCTGCCTTGGCTGCCCAAAGTCCTGAATTACAGGTGTGAATCACCATACCTAGCTTTATATTAACATTTTTAAAAATTAGCTAATGATTACAACTTAAATATTGTCTATAGAACAAGTTTCTAATCATCAGGAAAATGTTTGTTATCAGAGTTGAATGCATTTATTTTTCCAAAACCCATAATATTTCCAACTTACTGTGTGTGTAATAAAAGAATTATTTCGCAGATTGACTTTGAGTGTCCGTGATTCCCCGACACTAGTTGGCAGGAACCTGTACACATCCTCTGGGGCATAAACTCCACGAGCAGTCACATCAAGCTGCCTGCTTAGGGAATAGGTGTAAAAATTAAGAATTTGAAATCCACATTAACTTAAACTATTTTTATATATTAAAATTATGTAGTTTTGCATTAATTTGTGTTTTTCCTGACAATTTATTTTCAAAAATAAGTTTTGTAATGGCAACTTATCTAATTTATGTGAAGAGGATGACAGCAGGAATCCTTTTATAGAGGATGTTGGATAGGCCTCATTCTCCTCACAGCCTGGATCTCTACCTGCCAGAAGCCCAGTTTGTATGAAGGTGGCCCTTCACCTTAGTTCATTTCACCTGGTTCCTTTATGTTGCAGTCCCAACTGCCCTTCACTATCACAGGGACACAGGCTGCTCCAAGCACCTGATGTAGGTGTGGCCTCCAGGCAATGTTTGCTGGCGAGGGCACTGGCTCTTGCCTGGGCTTCCAGGACCCCATACAGCTGCCTCCCCTTTCTCTGTCCACCCCCCAGGGTCTCTGCAGGCTCCACTCCACCCCCAACTCTCTGGGCACCTGACCTCCCCCTCACACCTAACTTGGCACCCCCCAGCAGCCCTATCTATTCAGTCACTACACAATGGTACCTCAGGACAGCTCAGACACCTTCAGTTTCCACAAATACAGAAATGAACTTGTGATCTTTGTCTTCAAACCTGATCCTCCACTTATGTTTCCTGAACGGTATCTGGGAGCTGAACCTCTCACAGCCATCCCCCTTTATCCAGTCCATTGCAGAGGCTCTCCTATCTCTAGTCTGCCCATTCTCTTCCTATTCCTTGACACTATTTTACTCCTGGACTCCTTTAAAATAGCCCCTCCTCACCTACTTCTTATCAGTCATACCACAGCCAGGGGATTGTCGTATACACACAAACCTGACTGCGTCACTACCTGGCTTCCCAGCTCTCCCAAAGAGTACCCACCTCCTAGGCCCCACTCTGGCCTCACCCCCCGCCACTCCCCTCTCCTACTGAACTTCTCCTGGGAACTTCTCCCACTCTCCTTGCCTAGACCATTTCCACTCATCCTCCTCAACTTACAAGTCCCCTTTCAGGGAACTCCTTCCCAGGCTTCACAGACCAAGCTGCCTCTGTTGCTTCTCCCCATTTCCCATTTGTTTCTCCTCAACCCATGTGGGCTCTGGGTTGGCGAGTCTACATCTCCAGAAGGGAGATGTGGAGAAAGCGAGAGAGGAGCAAGGGATAACAGCCCGGAGGGAGTGTGCCAAGAACATGTATTCTTTAAGAGTGTTCTAATTTCTTCCAAATGCATTACTGACTCTCATTAAAAAATAAATGACTACATTTATATTAAATTCAGCAGATATTTAACATATATTATCTTTTCAGGCATCTTCCTCAAGAACTTAATTAGATCTAATTACTAGTTAATTAAGGATCCTAAGAAATATTTTCATTAGGTAGAATACTAAATAATATTCTCATTAAAGCTGTATATGCTGCTGGCATAAGTTTTACATTTTAAAGCTTTTTAAGAATCTTTCATATACTGCTTAAGGGAACATAAAATGGTACAACTATTTAGGGAAAACTATTTGGCAGTTTATTTTAAAGTTCAACACATGGTTATCATGTGACCTAGAAATTTTTTATAAAATTAGGTATTTTTACTCAAAAGAAATGAAAATGTATGTCATCCTCAGAAATGCACATACAGTAGTGTTCATAGCACCTTAATTCATAATAGTCCCAAATTATAAGACATCCAAAAGTCAACAGGAAAATAAATTACCATATGTTCATTTAATAGAATATTAAACAATAAAAAGGAGTGAACTATAGGTATATTCAATAACATGAATGAATTTTTTAAAATAGCATGTTGAGAAAAAGAAGCCAGACACAAAGAGTATATACATACATACATACATACATGTATATATGAAGTTCAAGCAAAATGAATCTATGAAGGCAGAAATCAGAACAGGACCAATCTTGACTGCAAAGGGACCAGTAAGAACTTTCTGGCCGAGAAGAATATTCTATATCTTGATTAGAGTGCTGGTAACACATGTGAACTTAGGTAAAGTCACTGAGCATTTTATAGACTCTACTCCTCAATAAGGTTGGGAAAAAATTCGTAAGAAAGACAAAAGCAACATACTCAGGTATGCGAGCAGAAGCCTCTGACGTAGCTTGTCTTTGGGGCTTAACTAAATGGTCTATTTTAACAAGGAAATCTGAGGAAAGGCATGTGTTTTCAGGCTCATTTTCTGCTTCGATGCTCTGTACAGAAAAAACACAAGGTAAGGGAGAATAAATAAAAACTCTAAGAAAATATATGGACATTTATTTATTTGAATTTTACCATTTCTTTTAAAAAATTTTAAAAGGAGATTTAAGATTTTTAAATTCCCTAAATTGCAAACTCTCTACTCTGTACTACCTGGTTCCTCTCTCTTTTTTTTTTTTTTTTTTTTTTTTTTTTTGAGGAGACTTGCTCTGTTGCCCAGGCTGGAGTGCAGTGGTATGATCTCGGCTCACTGCAACCTCTGCCTCCTGGGTTCAAGCAATTCTCCTGCCTCAGCCTCCTGAGTAGATGGGACTGCAGGCACACGACACCACATCCAGCTAATTTTTGTGTATTTAGTACAGACAGGGTTTCACCATGTTGGCCAGGATGGTCTCCATCTCTCGGCCTTGTGATCTGCCCGCCTTGGCCTCCCAAAGTGCTGGGATTATAGGCGTGAGCCATTGTGCCTGGCTGGTTCCTCTCTCTTAAGTGCCCACGTGCATCCTTGATGTGTGTGCGCACACACACAGGGTTTCTTATGTAATTAAGTCAAACATGGGCTTCATGGGCTATATGAACAATACAGCCAAACCCAGACCTCAAACATGCCAATTAATAAAGACAAACCAGAAAATTAAGGTCATGGGGCTGTATTCTGCATTTTCAGACCAATTTTTCTTGTCAATTTACCTTTCTGTTTTTAAAATACACACAATAATTTACTTAAATTCAGTGTACTACTCACTTGTCCAGAGAGTTGGAATCTCAACGTGTGTTTCATGTGAGGCTCCTTAAGAGGGTGGCATTCAACATCCCAAAACTGGGCATAATCCCCTCTACCTCTGGGCAAAAATGTGATGGAGACCTACAAAATACATACAGAGAGAAATTTAGACAACTGATCATTAAATGCAGTGGTAGCTAGATTACCAGTTCAAAGATTTGGTATGAACAAAGTTAAAGAACAAATGCTTTTGCATTGGCTCGTTTTCCCGCTAATTGAAAGAATTTGGACAATTTCATTTCTAGTGGGTTTGTTACTATACCAGATCTAAAACACGTTTTTGCTTAAGGCTTTATATAACATATTCCTTAAAATGTACAATAAATGCTCTACTATCGGGGGAAATGTTAACAGAAAGCACTAAAGCTGTCAAGCACAAGACCTACACGAGAAAGGTCCAACCACAAACCCTCAATCATCTTCTCTTGAGTGCTTATGGAACCCTCTGCCGGCCAAGCAGTACCAGGACAAAGGCCTGGCAGTGGCCCGGGAGCTGCAGAAGACTGACAATAGTGGTAGGATGGCGGCTGCAGGAGGCTGAGCAAGACAAATGTCAGACGCTCCACAGTGGCAGCTCGCATTATGATTAGATTCCAAATGTCAGTCACAGCCAGTGACCCTGGCCACACAGCTCAGTGATAAACACACCCTGCATGTGTATAACCTATAAAAACCTCAATTATGAGAAAATTGTAATGTTTAAAAACACTATAACGTTTACCAATATTAACAGCCTTAGCTCTATTAAATAATTTACTGTTGATAATACTGATCACTAATTAGGTTAACAATGAATCAGGACTTCTGAGTCGACTCAAACATTAAAACACCTAAGTGGCCTAATTTCTGCCCAAACAGAACCTTAAACATAATAACCCAGCAAGCCTGAGCTCATGGCTTCTGGGAGCCTAAGGACAAAGGCAGGACTGGTCAGGGATAGTAGAGCATCTAACTAGAGAATTACACCACTATGGACGTGGACTCTGAGAAGATGAAGGAAGGAAAGGGTAAAAACCAATGGAAGGGCTAAAAACCACCAGAAAGAGTAAAAACCACCATTGGGGACTACAGAACTATAAATTCCCAACTACATCTATCTCTTCAAATACCAAAATCACAACAGAACAGAGGAGGAGAAAACTATTATTACTGCATGTTACACCCTAGGCACATACTGGGAACTTTAACATTCAGTATCTCAGCTAATCCCCTGGCATGCATTCTCTATTTTCTCTCTATAGATTTGCCTATCCTAGACATTTCACATAAATAAAACCACACACCTGTGAGCTTCTGTGACTGGCTTCTTTCACTTAGCATAATGTTTTCAAGGTTTATCCATCTGGATATAGCATGTACCAGTAACTCCATTCCTTTTCACTGCCAAATAATATTTCATTTTATAGATATACCAGATTTTGTTTATTGATCCATCAATTTGGGTGATTCCCACTTTTTTGTCTTCTGTAACACTGCTGTGAACACCTGTGCACAAGTTTTTGTTTTAAAACCTACTTCAACTTTTCTAGTGTACATCCAGAGATGGAATTGCTGGGTCATACAGTAATTCTGTTTGGCTTATTGAGAAACTGCCAAATTGTTTTCCACAGCAGCTGTACCATTTCACATTCCCAGCAGTAATGTATGAGGGTTCCAATTTCCCCACATCCTCACCAATATTTGTTATTTTGTTTTTTAACTCACAGCCATCTTAGTGGGTGTTAAGTGATACTTCATTTTTCGATTTGACTGCATTTTGCTAATCACTAGGAATTCTAAGCATCTTCTCATATGTTTATTGACCACTTGTATGTTTTCTTCGGAAAAATGTCTATTCAAATCCCCTGCTCATTTAAAAAAATTGGATCACCTGTCTTTTTACTGGGTTGTAAGAATTCTTTACAAATTCTGGATACAGGTCCTTTGTCAGACATATCATTTGCAAATTTTTGTCCCTATTCTGTGTTGTTTGATGCACAAATGTTTTTGATTTTCATAATTCACCTACTTTCGCTTTTGTGGCTTGTGCTTTCCTGGCGTCACACCTAAGAAACCAATGCTTAACCTAAGGTTATGAAGATTTATTCCTATGTTGTCTTTTAGAGGTTTTATAGCTTTAGGTCTAATGTTTATGGTCTAAGGTTGATGGTTGATTTTCAGTGAAATCTCTGTATATGCTACTAGGTAAGAGTGATGGTTAGTATTAGGTGTCAACTCGATTGGATTGAAGGAGGCCTAGATGGTTGCTAAAGTATTGTTTCTGGGTGTCTGTGAGGGTGTTCAAGAGAGGAGACTGACATTTGAGTCTGCGAAGTAGAAGGAAGGTCCACCCTAATGTGGGTGAGCACCATCCAATCAGCTGCCAGTGGGCTAGGAGGAGGCAGGTGGAAGAAGGTGGGATAATCTTGCTTGCTGAGTCTCTTGGCTTTCATTTTTATCTCGGGCTGGATGCTTCCTTCCGTTCCTCCTGTCCTTGGAAATCAGACTCCAGGTTCTTCAGCCTTTGGACTCTGGGATTTACACAAGTGTTTGACCAGGAACTCTTGGGCCTTTGGTCACAGACTGAAGGCTGCACTGATAGCTTCCCTCTTCTGAGGCTTTTAGACTCAGACGGAGCTGCTACTGGCTTCATTCTTCCCCAGCTTGCAGATGGCCTATCATGGGACTTTGCCTTGTCATTGTGTGAGTCAATTCTCCCTAATAGCCTCCCTTTCATATATACGTGTATCCCATTAGTTCTGTTCCTCTGGAGAAACCTAATACAGCAAGAGTCTACACTAGTTCTTTTGCATGTGGTTATTCAGTTCTCCCAGGCACTATGTGTTGAAAAATATTCTTTCCCCATTGAAGTGCCTTGGTGCCCTTATTTAAAAAAAAAAAATCAATTAACTATAAATATTAGGGTTTATTTTGGGATTCTCAATCCTATTCCACAGTTCTACAGATTTGTCAATACCACACTGTTTTGTGTAGTGTGGCTTTTTAGAAGGCTTTGAAAACAGGAAGTGTAAATCCTCCAACTTTGTTCTATTTCAAGATTGTTTGATTATTCTAGGTCTCTTGTATATCTACATAAATTGCAGAATCAGTGTTTCAATTTTAAAACAAAACCCAGCTGGATTTATTTTTAGTTTTTCTATGTTTTATTTAACTAAATTTAGATTCTAATTACAAGTGTGCACTATATCTTTGAACAAAGAATAAAGTGTGCTTAGATTTTGGTGTAATTTTTTTGTGGGGCAGGGGACAAAGTTATACAATGGTATAAGGTGTATAAATTCTCAGGACAACCCATAAAGACCATTTAGGAAAACATATTTGAGCGATTCATGAAAGAGGGATTTTAAGTCTTTGATACTTAAGTCATTCTTTTTTTAACACATTTATCTTTATTTTTATTTATTTATTTATTTTTTGACATGGAGTCTCACTTTGTCACCAGGCTAGAGTGCAGTGGCTCGATCTTGGTTGACTGCAACCTCTGCCTCCTGGGTTCAGGCGATTCTCCTGCCTCAGCTTCCCAAGTAGCTGGGACTATAGGCATGTGCCACCACGCCCAGCTAATTTTTATATTTTTAGTAGAGATGGGGTTTCACCACCTTGGACAGGCTGGTCTTGATCTCTTGATCTTGTGATCCACCCTCCTCGGACTCCCGAAGTGCTGGGATTACAGGTGTGAGCCACCACGCCCAGCCTTATCTTTAATTCTTTTAAAAATGTTTTGAATTTTTGATTAATCTCATTCTGCTAGATTCTCACTTCACACATGCTTTTTGTGTAAAATTGCCTTTTTCCTGCCTTGGTCAATTTTGCCAAAGGTTTGTCTGTATTATTATTTTTTTCCAAAAAGCAGCTTGGGATATGTTAATCTTCTCTTGTTTCTTTGTTTTTATTATATTTTGCTTTGGAACATTTTTTTTTTCTTCTTTCTTCGGATTTATTCTGTTATTTTCACCACACTTCAATGACTGCTTAGCTCATTAATTTCAGTTTCTTTTTTTCTTTTTAAAATAGATGCATGACACCTGTATCTTTACCACTATGGGCCTATTGTTGTTCCGGTTTTTTTTCTTTTTCAACTTTTATTTTAGATTCAGGGGTACATGTGCAGGTTTGTTACCTGGGTATATAGCACAATGCTGAGGTTTGAGGTATGAAAGATCCTATCACCCAGGTACTGAGCATGGTACCCAATAATTAATTTTTCAGCCCTTTTCCCCCTTCTAGTAGTCCCTAGTTTCTATTGCTGCCATTTTTATGTCTATGAGTACCCAATATTTGGCTCTAACTTGTAAATGAAAAAATATGGTATTTGGTTTTCTATTCCCGTGTTAATTAGCTTAGGATAATCACCTTCAGCTGTATCCACGTTGCTACAAAGGTATTTGATTTGATTTTATAGTTGCACAGTATTTCATGATACATATTTACCATTCTACCATTTATTTATCCAATCCACCTGTTGATGAGCATGGTGATCAATGGTGGATTGATCCATGTATCTGATATTGTGAATAGTGCTGCAATGAATGTGCAAGTATCTTTTTAGTGGAACAATTAGCTTTCTTTTTGGTATATATCCAGTAGTGGGATTGCTGGTTTGAATGGTATTTCTAAGTTCTTTGAGAAATCTCCAAACTGTTCTCCACAGTGGCTGAACTAATTTACATTCACACTAAGCGTATAAGCATTCCCTTTCCTCTGCAGCCTTGCCAGCATCTATTGTTTTTTGACTTTTTATTTTATTTATTTTTTTGGAGACAGAGTCTTACCCCGTCATCCAGGCTGGAGTGCAGTGGCACAATCTTGGGTCACCACAACCTCTGCCTCCTGGGTTCAAGCCAACCTCCCACTTCAGCCTCTCAAGTAGCTAGGGCTACAGGTACATGCCACTATGCCCAGCTAATTTCTGTATTTTTTATAGAGTTTTGACATGTTGCCCAAGCTGCTGACTTTTAATAACAGCCATTCTGATTGCTGTGAGATGGTATCTCATTGCAGTTTTGATTTGCATTTCTTGATGATTAGTGATGTGGAACATTTTTTCATGTTTGTTGGCTGTATGTCCTCTTCTAAGAAGTGTCTGTTCATGTATTTTGCTCATTTTTTAATAGGCTGATTTGTTTTTGGCTTGTTCAGTTGTTTAAGTCCCTTTTGTCAGATGTATAGTTTGTGAATGTTTTCTCCTCTTCTGTAGGTTGTCTGTTTACTCTGTTGATAGTTTCTTTTGCTGCACAGAAGCTCTTTAGTTTAATTAGATCTTATATGTCAATTTTTGTTACAAATGCTTTTGAGAACTTGGTCATAAATTATTTCCCAAGACCAATGTCCAGAATGGTGTTTCCTAAGTTTTCTTCTAGGATTCTTATAGTTTGAAGTCTTATGTTCAAATATTTAAACCATCTTGAGTTAATTTTTGTATATGGTGAAAGGCAGGGGTCCAGTTTCATTCCTCTGCACATGGTTAGCCAGCTATTCCAGCACTATTTATTGAATAGGGAGTCCTCTCCCTATTGCTTATTTTTGTCGACTGTGTTGAAGAGCAGAGGGCTATAGGTGTGTGGCTTTATTTCTGGGTTCCCTATTCTGTTCCATTGGTTTATATGTCTGTTCTTGTTTTGCTACCATGCTGTTTTGGTTACTATAGGCTTACAGTATAGTTTTAAGTCAGGTAGCACAATGCCTCCAGATTTGTTCTTTTTGCTTAGGATTGCTTTTGCTATACAGGCTTTTTGGCTTCATATGAATTTTAGCATAGTTATTTCCAGTTTTCTGAAAAATGACGCTGGTATTTTGATAGGAAGAGCATTGACTATAGACTGTTTTGGGCCCAGCGGGGGTTTTAATTGGGACTGTGCTGAATATATAGATCAATTTAGGGGGCACTGATGTCTTAAAAGGTTAAGTCTTCTGATCCATTGATAAAAGGATGTCTTTCTTTTTACAATCCTTTCTCATATGTTGAACTTTATTTGAGCAATGTGTCTATCCCCTGTTCTTCTGCTTTGCTTCTGTTGTAGTTTGGGAAATTAACTAAACTACACTTGTAGAACTGTATGTCTTTCCAAAAAAAGTGAGAAACAGTCTGAAAGCCTGTTATACAGACCCAGTAAAGTGCAGTTTGCAACAACTGCTATAGCTGCTTCAAGATTCTTTTACAGTCAGCTCTGAGTTCACAGCTATATTCTATAACTTACTGTAAGTCTGAGTGTCTGAATAAATGAGCCAATAAATTTCAGTAACTAGAATGAAAAAATATATTACTGAGGCCAAGTGGATGACTAGTGTTATTAGGAGACATTTGAAGGGAACATGTCAGGTCTAGAAATGAATTAACATTTAAGAGGGTCATAGTAGCTGGAGGGATCTGTCACCCATGAAGATATGCTGTTGACTATGCCATGAATACCAAGCTATTTTTGAGTAATGGCAGGTTTTTCTGGCTACGGCTGATAGACAAAACTCTTGTCTCCATCAGTGCAGTACAACTGTAAGCACTGGCAGTCTGTGGTCTTTACTGTTAAGGGTGCCATTTGTTAAGCTGACCATTTTTTCATACTAAGACTATCTGCTGCAGCACATTGCAAGTGAGGCAGGCTCTTCTCTCATGTGCACACTGGCTCTGTGAGTAGCACTGCTCTAGGTTAAACAAGCTAAAATGGGTGGAATCAAATAAAGCACTTCTGGACAATTTACATGATGCTCTTACTAACTGCCTATGGAAAAAAATATCAAAACCTACTTTTTGTGTCCCATGGCTTTCCAGTAGACCAGAAATAGGGGAACATCTGAAGGCTGCATAGGTGGCTCTAAAAACATCTCCACTTTCATCAACTCCCTGCAAAGCAATCATTTAAACAAATTAAAAACCATGAAGCCAATGGATCAATCCCACAGAGACACTATTACCTCTATGGTTGTTAAGAACACACTAACACACTTAGCAGTGAACAAGGAGAGTGCAAGGTATTCCCAAAATGGGAGTGCTACCTCACTGAGTTCTGCACAAGGCCATCATGCTGACTTATGTCACCAAAGGTGAGGTCATACAAGGTGACTTTTATCACTTCCCTAGCTATAGTGATCTTTATGGTGAAGCTCATAATGTTAAACAACTATCTTTTCCTCAAAGACTCTGAAGACTCTGTTGAATGTGCATTTTAATAACTATGCAATGCCAGTTTTTTATTTTTACTTTTATTTTTTTAAGACAGGATCTGGCTCTGTTGCCTAAGCTGGAGTGCAGTGGCGCAATCATGGCTCACTGCAGCCTTTACCTCCTGGGCTCAAGTGATCCTCCCAAGTAGTTTTTAATTTTTTCACTGTAGGTCCAGAAACTGTTTTTTATACACATTTTGTTAGTATTATGACTCAAAACCATTGCCATCACACAAAATACATGGCAGAGAGACCACAGTATTCTAAACACCACCAATGTCAAACACACTGACTTCAGGTGGTGCCCTGGAAGACTAGCACCATAGACAGTAGGCTGCCACTCACTGGCAAAGAGTGCTCAGTTTCCTTTCCTGCACTGCTGGCTGGGAACATACATTAGCACTCAGAACCCGAGGGGAAAGCCATGCATGAGCACATACAATGCTCAGAAATATAATTTTTACATATTTCTCAAAATAAAGTTATTTCAGATAAAATCAGGGCTAGAAGACAGCATTACATTAAGCAAACATGTATTTCCACATATTTCTCTAATTTGACTCTCAAAACCACTTTGTGAAAAAGAGTGGGCATATATCATCCTCATCAAAAGTGAAAACCAACTAAATGAATTGGTGGAACAAATAATCAGCAAGTTCAGGTGCAGCAGCTCACACCTGTAATCCCAGCATATTGGGAGGCTGAAGCAGGAGGATCACTTGAGGTCAGGAGTTCAAGACCAGTCTGGACAATGAAGTGAGGCTCCACCTCTACAAAAACCAAAAAGTTAGCTGGTTGTGGTGGTGCATACCTGTGGTCCCAGCTATATGAGAGGCTGAAGCAGGAGGATCACTTTGAGCCTGGGAGGTTGAGGGTGCAGTGAGCAGTGTTCACACCACTGCACTCCAGCCTAGGTGACAGAACAAGACTTTTGTCTCAGAAAACAAACAAGCAAATAACCAGCAATATCAACCAATGCTTGTAGTCAGTTTTAAAAACATCTTGAATAAAGTTTAAACATTAAAGTGATTATATCTGAGGCAGTCGTGACTGACCTTCACATAAGGCGGAGCTAAAGACGACAGATGCCATTTCACGTCTATGGTGCCATGATTCTGGAGTTCCAGACAGCTCTCTAAAAGGAAGACACGTATCATAACTCAAACTCAGACAGACTGGAGAACAAGCAGATGACTGTGACAGGCCTTACTACCTCAAACTGGGGTTAGAAAAACCCAATCATTAGATTCCTAAAGGAGTTCAACAGGAACCACAGTATTTTCTTTAAAAAATCAGGTATGTTACATATTGTTTTAGGTTTTATTACAAGTACAATGCAAAGATACTGAAGGGCTTATGCCAGAGAGCAGTAAGATGACTGACAGTTTTAAAGTGTTACAGACTGCTCTGTAGAAAAGATATTGCAAGGCACTGAAGTGGACAAGAAAGCCCAGGTAAGTTATAGCTGCAGCAGTTTGGCTCTGAGATGTTCACATGGTGACTGCCTCCAGCGTGGACAATGGCAAAGGGGTGAAAAAGACGTGGACATGTGTGGCCTCTACTTTGAAGACAGTCTTCAAAGGACTTGCTGATGGACTGAGTGGGAGGAGGGAGGAAGAAATCAGAAATCAGAAATAACCAATGGACAGATAGTGGTACCACTTACTGACATGGGTGAACCTGGAGGAGGTGTAGGGTCTCTCTTAGGCTTATTATACCTGATGTGCCTGTGAGATGCCCACATGTGAGCCAAGCAGCCACCAGGGTGTGATGCCTGGGCCCAAGCACATGGGAAGTCATGAGAGTCACAGGACACAGGCCATCACTGAGCAGGAGAACACAGAGAAGGAAAGGCACAAGCAGGCCAGGCCGGAACCCGGCCAGTCTTCAGAAATTGGGGAGAAGAGTCAGCAAGGGAACCGAGCAGGAGCACGTAAAGCAGGAAAATTCGAGCACTGGGGCACGGCAGCTGCACAGAGGAGTGCTCTATAGTGGAGGAGTGGTCAACAGTGCTGGCAGTTCAAGTCAACCGAGACACAAAACCGACCCTGGATTTGGCACATGGAGCTCTTCAGTGACCTCCACAGGACGGGCATGAGGTAACTGCAGCCAAGGCCTACAGAAGTGAGGGCAGGGGGCTGCTAAGAGGGGGCGGCTCCAAGGAAAGGGTATGGGGGCCGAGAAAGATGCTTCTTAACCACTGATGGTGGAGTGTACTGGGTGCTGGTGGAGATGTATCAACAAGGAGGCAGAAGCTGATGGCCCTGGAGAGAGAGGGGAACACAGGAAGCCCCTGAGAGGTGAAAATGGACAAACCGAGTTCCAAGCAGAGGGTTTGCCTGTGATGGAAACAGAGCCTTTCACTGGGTCTCAGGGCCTATTTTTCATGTGTCAGGCAAAGTCAATGGTTAAGAAGAGTGACAGCAGGAGCAGAGGAGGGGGCAGGAGCTCTTAGAGGAAGGAAGGGCCCCAGCCGCAGAGGGGAGCGGGGGCTGCAGGACACACACAGAGCACTAGAGGCAGCAAAGCCTTGTGTGGAGGGGCACCTGGAACCCTCAGCAGGGCAGAGTGGCTCCCTCCAGCGTGGCTTCGCTGCTGGGGTAGAGGCAGGAGGAGCTATGCCCCTGGGGCAAGCCAGGATTGGGATCTTGCCAGGCAGGAACAGAGGGAGAGGAGCACACGGCAGTCACGGAAGCCTTTGAAACAGCAACTGTAAGGACAGACTCAGAGTCCATGGAGTGACAAGAGGAAAGGGGCATGGCAGGCTGGGAGAGAGCACAAAACAGAGGACCAGCGGGCTGGGGGGTCTCAGGGAGGCCAAAGAACTGCTGTGAGCCCTGGGTGAGTGAACTGAAGAGGGTCGACAGTCAGCAAGTGCCAGGCTCAGGTCAGAGAACTTCAGGGTTGAATGACAAGTTCCAGGAGGGGAGGGAATCAGGAGGGCAAGGCTGTGGGTAGAAAAAATCAATGGAGAGGCAAGGAGTTAAGAGGGCCAGGCGAGAGATGTACCCACATCCTTTTTAACAGGTCCCACCAACAACACTGCTCATTTAGCCTGAGCCAGCAGTGAGAGAGACAGACGGGGACAAAAATAAATAATCTTAGGACTCCTGAGGAATATTAGCAATACAGAGTGCCTAACAAACAACAAACACCATTCTAACTGCTGTACATATATCACTATTTCTGAACATGAATGCTCATCATGTCCCAATAAACCCATCCTAAGCTGAAATTATCCTAAGTGGAAAATGCATATAATCCACCTAACCTACCCAGCATATAGCTTAGCTGAGCCTGCCTTAAACCTGCTGAGAACACTTACCTTAGGCTATAGTTGAGCAAATCCTCTAACACAAAGCTCATTTTATAATAAGGGGTTGAATATCTCATGTCATTTGCTGAGGACCACAGTCTCATGTCACCTACTGAGTGCACTGCAGAACACAGTATCGGCTGTTCACCCTTGTGATCACAGGGATGACCAGAAGCTGTGGCTCGGGGCTGCTGGAACCCAGAATCACAAGAGGGTGAAGCACCATTTTAACCCAGGGCAAGGTTAAAAATCAAAGCACAATTTTCACTGAATGTACATGGTTTTCACACCATCACCAGGTCAAAAAAAAATGGTAAATCAAGCCACCATAAGTCATGGGCTGCCCAAACAGGAATTACTAAATTTATCCTTGAAGTCCTCTGTGGAAGAAGTTAATTCCAAAGCCTATTTTACAAATGGGGAAACCAAGCAAGTCTACTGAACCTGTCTGGAGCCTCAATGTCATGTGAGTAAGTGATGAAGCCAGGCTCCACCCACTGTCCTGTCTTCTTCAACTGCTAACTTATTAACAATTTTGGTCAAGGATCTGGTGAGAGTTACACAGGAAAGGTTCTGACCATCAAACAAAACCTAGGATTCCTGGAATACACAAACTTAGTAAATGCCAAGGCTTCACATTTTAAGACTGTTCAGATCCCAAATCCAGCCCATCATTGAAATGATTGCTAATAACCACTTGATTTTTCTCCTCAAGTAGGAGGAAATTTGTATTTATCACCAACTTACAGCTGAGAATAAAGCATCAGAATCAATATATCAGCAGACATTGGAATTATATAATTTTGTGGCACAATACCTGAAGTTTTACCAGGTTCTGTTGTAGGAAAAGTAATACTCTTGTTTCTTATTTCAACTTTTGTGGAAGGTGGTTTTGTCATTGGTTTGACCAAATGACCAAATGGCTCAGATACTGGGGAAAGAATTCCAAATGGTTTGGAGGTCAAACGAGTTAAAAGTTCCACTTGAGTTAAATCTTCTCGAATTTGAACTTTTACAATTTTCTGAAATGAGCCAAATAAAGAGATAAGATATAAACATAGCTATCATTTTAAAAGAAACAATTCCATTTTTAAATCATGGTAGAGAAAAGAAATGCCAAACAAACAAGACGTCAATAAATTTAGGAATTAAAGTTTATTTAGACCTCAAGGTAAATCTCCTTTCTCCCACTACTTTTTTTTTTTTTAAAGCAAATTTAGAAAATTAGTAATTACTTCTACGCCCCACTCTCCACACCCATTTCCCAAGAGAATTGTTCTGATCACTATGGAAAAAGTCTATACCAATGCGCTAATTAAATAAACCTAGTTGGGCTCAGAATACAAATAATCATGCCTCAGTATCCGTGGGGGATTAGTTCCAGGACCCCCTGAGGATGCTAAAATCCTCGATGCTCAAGTTCTGTATATAAAGTGGCACAGTATTTGCACATAACCTGCATACATTGTCCTGTACACTTTAGATCATCTCTAGGGTACTTATAATACCTAATACAGTATAAATGCTATGCAAATAGTTGTTACTTATTTGTATTTATTTGTATCATTTTTTCCCCAAATATTTTCAATCTGCAGTTGGTTGAATCCTTGGATATGGAACCCACAGATATGAAGGGCCAAGTATACCTTCATTTGATTTTTGAAATGTAAGCGCTAATAAGGATTATGAAACTGAAGCTACAAAGTAACACAAATTTCACTTCAAAAAAAAAAAAAATCCAAACCACTTTTAAAAGTACCTTCTGTCCATCGTCGCAGTGTATGTAGATCAAACCACTCCACGGGAACATTGACTGTTTTGTGGATAAGGAGGAATTAGGACTCACAAGAATTTGTAGTTTACTCCTTTAAAAAATTTTAAAAATAGCATACATTTTAACAGCAGTAATCACACAAGTTATAAATACTGGTCTGCCAGCCGATGACCATTTCCTCACTGCTCAGGAAGAGCAGAGAACAGAGGTCACTCCCACGCGTTTCCCACGTGGCTCCCACATGGGCATCCCACCTCCACCCGACTCAATGGCTAACAAGAAACTCACCAGTACGAACTCGTGACGCAGGGGCAAAACTCATGTGAAAACAAACCATGCCTTAGGAATACCATGTTAAAAGCAACTCATGATAAAAATTTTTAGAGCAAAAGACCAAGACTACAAAAGCTCTGAGCCATGTGAGAATAAAGAAGAATGCAGGAGCTGCAGAGAAAACTAGAAAAAAGGGTGAGGGAGACGGAGAAGAAATGAAGAAAAATACATCTTTTTTTATGACCGGGCTGCTAATATTTTCTGGGCTCAATATTCTCTTCAAGAGCCAGAGGGTGCTAGAGAAGAGTTTAAAAGTAGACAATGGGATCAGATTTGTGATTTTAAAAAATCACCAGATTGAAAAGCTATTTTAGTACACATGTCAAAAACGACAGGGCAAGACTGTCTTCCTCTGCTAAACACATGGGGCTACAGAAAAAGCGATCGGTGAGGAACCTGTTCTACCGTTAGCTGAAAGGGTTGCATGCCAAATTGACTGCTCTGGTCCCAGCAATGTCTCTTTGGAGTGTTCCTGACCACGCTTCAGCTCAAGTCTCTGCCAAGTAAACTCTCCTAAAATTTTAGCACATCATTTTGCAAAAAGTAAATAAACTTCATTTTGTCTTTCTGCAAAGTTGTTAATCCCAGGTATAAAGGAATATGCAGACGTGGGAGTCATGCACTGACCAGATGAAGTCCTGAAAAGCTGCAGAGCTGTGGCTTTCCCACCTGTTAACAGCCAGGCTGTGGACAGAGGACAGGCAGCTGTGTAGAAACGGCTGGCCCCAAAAGACTTCCTTTTGTTCTAGAATATTCTACAGCATCCGTAAGCAAGGTTACGGCTCATACATACTAAAAGTGAGGAAGCTTTGTCTGAAAAACATCATTCAGAAAAAGCCAGCAGAACACACGACCCAAACCAAGGTAAGGAATGGCAGAAGTGTTTGGGGTTGAGACACGTCGTGACCCCTCATCCCATGTCCAGTTGCATTCCTTGCTTTGTAATTTCATGGGTACTCCTAAGAAGGAAATGCTCTGAAGTCTTCCACACCAGGGACTCTGATCCACCTCAGATGTGTATGTCCCTTTACCCTCCTGGGTGACAGCATAACCAGCCATGTGCAGATCTCTGCTCTACTAGACTGCCTACCACTTGAGCTTACAGCTGTCCTACAGAACCATGCATGTGCTTTGTGCAGTCGCACAGTCCAAAATTTAACTGGATAAACTACAATGACATATTTGATCCTTAGAAAGCGACCATGCCAGCATCTGAGGAACACAGAAGTCAGACTTACTCTGGTGCGACACATCCGTGCTGCGGTGTGACTGTGAGGCAATGAGCTGGCCAGCACAGCTCAAATTTCAAAAACCTCACAGAGTTATTCACAATCTGGAAACGTCCAGTTTTTGCCATGTCACCTATTTTGTCAGATAAATAAAATGTTACTTACATTTAACAATACTGAAAAAGACAAATGTTAACAACTAATAAACCAGAAACCTAAATAGATACATGAGTATGCTCCTGCTTTCTCAAACACTCAATTAAAGAAATTTCCAATCCTTGGTATCAAAGAGGAAAAAGGAAACCTGGAAATCGTCACTGCTTCATCTTAACTTGAGCACACACCTACATAGCAGATTTGCTCTACTCTGAACCAATGCTGTATCTCTGTGGGCAGGGGTGTGGCTCTGCCACTGGGGAAATGGGAGCCTCGTTGAAGAGTATGGCTCTGGGACAAGAACTCTGCTCCAGGCAAGTCTGAGTGGGGTCTCCAACAGTGGAAGCAGGGCCTGGGCAAGGCACAGCTTGATGTGCAGGATCCCATGTGTGTCCTGGATGAGCCGTGGGTACAAAGGAATGGCAGGCCTGGACTCCAGAACATACTTCTGAGGTGTCACAGGTGACATACTCACAAGGAGAAGAAGCTACCAGAATCAGGTGCTTGGGGAGGACAGTCCACGGCTCTTCAGAGGCCAGCTGATCCGAAGGCGGGCAAGCCGCTTGTGAAAGAAGAGGAGAACCTTGAGGACCTTTGACTGGTAAAACATCCAAAGAGATGTTGCCACCATGTTTCCCAGAAGCTCCCAAGTCGCTAAAAAATCATTTAATAAATGAAAAAGTTAGATAAGAAGAAAGAGACAGAGAGAAAAGTTAAAAACGATAAAAGGGCCCGGCACGGTGGCTCACGCCTATAATCCCAGCACTTTGGGAGGCCAAGGTGAGCAGATCACCAGGTCAGGAGATTGAGACCAGCCTGACCAACATGGTAAAAAAACCCTGTCTGTATTAAAAAATTAGCTGGGTGTGATGGCATGTGCCTGTAATCCCAGTTTCTCAGGAGGCTAAGGCGGGGGAATTGCTTGAACCACAGAGGTGGCAGTTGCAGTGAGCTGAGATCACGCCACTGCACTCCAGCCTGGGTGACAGAGAGAGACTCCATCTCAAAAAAAATAATAATAAAATAAAAATGATAAAAAGCCAGATTGTATCACATATTTTTATATTAATTCTTCATAAATTTAAAAACCTTAAGACAAAGCTAAAAGTGCATTATATATCAGGTATTTTTCAATGAATAAAAAGTATTCATATTGTGTATAGTTTAAAATGTATATAGGCTGGGCATGGTTGCTCATGCCTATAATCCCAGCACTTTGGGAGGCCAAGGAGGGAAGATTGCTTGAGGTGAGCAGTTCGAAAACAGCCTCGACAACACAGCAAGACACCACCTCTACAAAAAGAAAAACGCAAAATGAAGTGGGAATGGTGGCAAGCACCTGTAGTCCCAGCTACCAGGGAGACTGAGGCAGGAGGATTACTTGAGGCCAGGAGTCCAACCAGGGCTACAAAGCAAAACCCTGTCTCTTAAAAATATACATAATGTATAGGGGTGACAAGGGGTGGGGGGTGGCACTGGGACTTGTACGGAACACTCAGACAGTCTGGGTTAGCAGCGTGCAATGAGAAAATTAGTTAAAAATAGGGGGATTAAGTAAAAATACCCATCAAAAGGATCAGAAGCCAGAATGCAATTCAAGACCAAATAATGACAGTGAAGGATCAACGCTGCACCCATGAGTCCACTCCAGTATCAGTGAGGAATTACATAAAAGGGCCAAAACCGGGGCCGGGCGCGGTGGCTCACACCTGTAATCCCAGTACTTTGGGAGGCCAAGGCGGGTGGATCACGAGGTCAAGAGATCGAGACCATCCTGGTCAACATGGTGAAACCCCATCTCTACTAAAAATACAAAAAATTAGCTGGGCATGGTGGCGCGTGCCTGTAATCCCAGCTACTCAGGAGGCTGAGGCAGGAGAATTGCCTGAACCCAGGAGGCGGAGGTTGCAGTGAGCTGAGATCGCGCCATTGCACTCCAGCCTGGGTAACAAGAGCGAAACTCCGTCTTAAAAAAAAAAAAAAAAAAAACGGGCCAAAACCAAGTATCTTCCTCATAGTAAAAAGCCAACTAATAAATGTAGAAAGATGGAATTAGAAATCATCCTTTGGTAACCATGGTGAAAATAATTCAGGCAACAAGCATCGATGGATGCTCACAAATTTGATAAGGAACAAGATAATCATGATCTTTAAGAAACTCCCTCTAAGGTATTCATTAACTTTACAGTGGAGAAATCTGGTGGGGACCATTTTTAACTAAGTGATAAAAAACAGTATTAGTGACACGACAAATCAGCATTGTACACTGCCTGAAAAGATGCAATGAGAAAACAAACAGCGTCATTCCTGCCAAAAGTGTGAAACTTGAATCTGCAAACTGAAATTGAGGAATATTTTACAAAGTAACTGGCCTGGACTCCATAAAAAAACATCAAGGTCATTAGTAAGAAAGGGTTAGCAGCTGGCCTACAACCTATTTTCTCCTTTTTACCAAGGAATGCTCTAGAAAAAAGAAGGGTGATTTGGTGAAGTCTCCTGGTGATCCTGCTAATGACAGATCTCCTAACAAACACACTAATGTCCTTATCTATGGAATGCTTTTTGCAAGATATATCTCCTCTTTCTAGAATTATTGGTGGTAAAGAAACCTAAGATTCTGATCTTATGGGATAGTTATTGAAAAATTACCACAGAAGTTATGTAATTATCAAAGTACAAAATAGAACTTTCATGCTCAATATAACTCCCCCTTTCAGGTAAGCCATGTAGCACATGCATAATTTAGGGACCCTGTGTCAAATCTGAACAAGAGCTCAAGTATTAATGCTGCAAAAAGGACCTAGGAAGTGCCACCACCAGTCACAGACTTCTCCAGGCTTCATCTAAAATTACCAGTAAGCTTAATTCTGGATGAAGTCTTTGATTCTGTGGATCTGATACAATAATCCAACCTTCTGTATTATCTCAGTCAGGAAAGATAAGGAAAGGCTGAGAAACTCTATTCTGAAAGAGAGTTCTATACAAAAAAGTTCTATACAAATAGAGGATAAAGTGGTAAACTGTTAACAACCGTGAGTTTGACTGCAGATCATATGGAAATTCTCTGCACTATTTTTAAACTCTCCTGAAAGTTTGAAATTATTTTCAACCTAAATTTAAAATAAAGGTGAAATAAAAATTTTGAGACAAAATAATAATAATAGTAAAGTACAGGAAAAAAGATCAGCTCTGCTATGAATCGAATCATCCTGAAATCTGGTGAAATATTTCTGTTCATTTGTTTTACCTTGTAGATTCCAAGCTAGCTTTGGAAGAAGACTGAAGGAATTCTCTGCTAGAAATGCAATCCCTGAATCCTCCAATTACTGAAAGTATAATTTTACGCATGCTTCCATAAAAAAGCTGAACATCATTAGGCCGCTGGGGGAGATCATATACTGAAATAGAAAATAATGTTTGAAATACATGAATCTTCACACAAGCACAGCACAAAGTAACAGATATATGTATATATTTATAGTTATAGACTATTAGTTGCCGGGGTTAGGGGAGGTGACATTTGGATTAGTAGTACACAGTCTGGCACAAAATTACAGGCAGGCAGTTCAGCACCAGTGGCTGACAGCTCAGGTTTGGAAGCTAAATTTGAACTACCTTTGCCACTCATTCATTCTGTGACCTTTGGCAAGTTACTTAACCTCTCTGAACTTTAGTTTCTTCAGCTATAATATAGATAATGATCTATATCAAGGATTGTGAGCATTAAAATAAGAACGCTTTCGTAGATATAATATGGCAACATTTATATGAAGCTTAATGCGGGCATTGTTCTAATCCCTTTATATATATTAATTTAGTTAATTTTCAGAACAATTATTTGAGATAGGTACTATTACCTCACTGCAAAGAGAAGGAATTGGAAGCACAGAGGTTAAGGGTCCACGATTTTTAAGTGGCAGTCTCACAGGCATTCAATTTAAAGTAAATCTAGAAATAGTGCTCAAGATGAACATCTCTAGATTAGGCCACCCAAATTTGTATTTATAAGAAATGTTATAAAATACACTTGGCATTTTATATATATATTAGATAGTCTTTAAGTATTGATATTTTGACATGGAAATTTTAAAAGAACACAGTAATTATAAATTTAAATTTATAACTTAACCAAGTCTCCTAACTGAAAAAGTTTAAATCGACTACAAAAACATGTGCCACAAATTACACATTTTGTAAAAGCAAGATTGTTACAAATCCTTAGAATAGTAACATGCTCATGCAAATGTTACTGAAATTCATCCCATAAAAGCTTCAACTGCAGTGTTTTCACAGGTGATCTATGGTACTAACCAACACAAAAAAGTGAAACTGTTTCCTCCATTCATCTGGACAATAAACTTACAATCACAAGGAATACAGTACTCCTTGAGGTGAAATTCTGGTGTCCCAAAGACTTGGCCTAAGTCCCAACTCAACCCCATCTTAGATGGGTGATTCTGACAGGCTACTTGAGCTCTTGGTTGGCTGTGTCAACACAACTCTTAGTACAACATGTGTACTTATTTTGGACATGCAGCTCTACCTGGGGCACTCTTCCTCACTCTGGTCCCATCTTTTCCACTTCACCAACTCCTCCTCTTCAAGTAAACCTCAAGAATCATCTCCAAGTAAGGTACCCTCCCAGATTCCTAAACACAGCTCTCTCTCTCACAGCCCTTTTCACATCACACCTGAGTCATCTGTCTTCCTCTGAGTCTGTAAGCCCCTCATGGACAAGGACTGCATCTGGTACCTCTACATCCAGTGTCCACAAACTGGCTGGCACCTTGTCCTCTCAGGATGCATCCATCATTCAATGAGAGGACTGTTGCCATATGATGGAACTATGCCAGCGTCTGAACCACTGCTCCCTACTTAAATTACAGTCTTCACAGCTTATCTTGTATTTTGATCCTTCCTATGAGGAAGAGGTGGCTCTGAAGTGGGACAGATGAGTCTTGAGTTTCAACTCCAAATCCAAGGTTCCTTTCCTTTGTTCTGTTCCTTTAGCACACTCCTGAGAAGTCCATTCCAAGTCTTTCTGTCATTTTTAATCACCTCATCCCTGCCTTCCCTTTGAGGAGATGATCTAGACACCCACTTTACTGAAAAGTTCACAGACTACTCAACGTCATCCCTACCATGGCATACATATCCTTCTATCACTTCGTATTTCAGAAGCAAAACATAGTCTATCATTAAAAAACTAGAAAATAAAAACAGGAAAAAGCTACCACCTGAAATTTATTCCACCAAGAAAACTAGCCACTTATTATTTTGGTGTATATATGCATGTGATCTTACTTATGTAAATATATATGTAATAATTTTTACCAAAATGAGATCTTACTTTGCAAACTTCAAAAAGTTTTTGTAATAAATGAAGAGCTTTCTATATCATTCAGTACGGATTCATATTATTGTTCTAATGGCTTCAAAATATTCTACTGCATAATTAAATGACTCCCGAGTCTTGGGCATTAAGGTTACTTCTAACTTCTTGCTATTATAAACAATACCATGGTGAAAATCTGTATATATATTTTTACAGTCTGTATGTCTCAATATATTTCTATTTTGTATGAATAATAAATGTTGTTAAATATTTGAAATGTTTAGTGGAAACAGGGCTAACCATCTAGGTTAGTGTCACCTCATTAGTGTCTATTTTGATTTTTTTTTTTTTGCCACCACTACATCTTCCATAAATCTTACAAAAGGCACTACAGCACAGTAACCTCAAAATGAGTGGGAGTTTGCAATCAAATATAAGTAGCAATTAATTTGATTTAACAATGACCATTTCCCTCTTCCTGTTTACAAGCCTGCCTAGAGAATAAATGCAGAAAGTATTAGTAACATGTAACATTTATACAGCAGCAAAGCTCTTTCATCGAATCCTTATAACAACTCCGTATGGATGCAAAGTTAGACATCGCCTTTCTTCCCATTTACAAGATAAGAAAACTGACATTCAATGATGTAATTCATTCAAACTCATACAGCAGAGCTATGGCTCAAACTCTGCCTAACACTGTATCTAAACTTATACTTCCTTCTTGTATCACATCACTGGACCTAGATAATACTATAAATGACCCAAACAAGACATGTTGAAATTCTTACCTTCAGTTATTAATAGCTCATCTTGAAATGCTTCAGCAAAATTAATGTTTTGAAGCACACTGCGTTCTGGAAGTATCTGTTTTATAATCTCTGGCTTATGTAACAGGGCCCTGCCAGAAGAGATTTTTTTTTTTTTTAATTCAAAAGTGACACTATATATAAAATGACTTTAATTGGATTTTCACTAATGCATTTGGCAAATTCCACTTATATTGATACATTAGTACATAGACTTTATACTTAAAAGAAAACCTGTTTTGGAAGTTTCCTCAAAAATTACACTTGTAGTAAAATTATCAGTCTCAGTTAAATATTAACATCAAATAAGAACTCCTTAGAAAAACAGTAGCAAGAAGAGTTAACTTAGATTCTTTTCAAGTCTTACATTTTCATTATTTGTGATAATTTGGTAATTTTTCTCAGAACACAAAAGAACTTGGTAAAAAATGAAAAGATTTGAAGGGGAATATTTAAATTACCATATAACTACATTTATCTGATTCCTTCCAGAAAATCTTTGAGGTGAGAAAACTGAAATGTAAATTTCTCTATAATACTCAGATGTCCACAAAGAAAATGTCATTACTATAAACTTTACGGCAAAGATGAGTTTGAAAACAATATGCTGATTTCTATATCCCAATGGAGAGACAGAAAAACATCAGAATACCTCATAATGTGATTTCTCTAAATGCCAGTTTCTATTTCCAAAATAATTAAGACACGAAACCAGGTTCAAAGGCAAGCTTTTCATTTGGTCTGTTCTAACATTATGTAGCAAGTCACCATTAAATTCCTTCTTGTAAACATTCCAATGACACTCAACAAATTAAAAACAAAACAATTTCCCAAATTCTGTATCAGAATAAAACACAGCCAAACACAAAGGTTCAGAAGGAGACAGGCGTATTCCTTCACATCCCCTTTCTAATGATTTTTTATTAGCAGATGACACACCATGAGTCACACTCATCCTATGTTAGATCCTCTAAACTAGGAAGCTACACTTTACAGTAAGAGAATTCATGTTTAAATCAGGCCTAAACCTTAATCAATACCCTAAATTTTCCAACAGTTCAGCATATCAAACTATGTTTATATTATTTATTTATTTATTTATTTATGAGCGAGGTCTGGCTCTGTTGCATTTATTTATTTGCTTGCTTGTTTATTTATTTGAGAGGTCTGGGCTCTGTCGCCCAGGTTGGAATGCAGTGGTGCAATCACAGCTCACTGCAACCTTGAACTCCTGGGACTGTGATCTTCTTCCCACCTCAGCCTACAAAGTAGCAAGGACTACAGGTGCACACCACCACACCCAACTAAATTTCCTATTTCTTTTGTAGAGACAGGGTCTCATTATTTTGCCCAGGCTGGTCTTGAACTCCTGGCCTCAAGCAATCCTCCCACCTCAGCCTCCCAAAGTGCTGGTCATGAGCCAGTTAACCCACCCTAAATTTAAATTAGATATATCAGATTTTACAGCAGTTCACACTTTTTAAGTAGCTACAAGTTAAACATCTTACACATTTCAAAAATTCAACTTGATCCTTTCAAATAATTCACAGCATTCCCAGAAATATTATAAACTAGTCCCCTGTGTTTATACAATATAATCATTCAGTAGTTCTTAAATCTTTTATAAAACTGACACACTGTCTCTGGACATGTCATCAAGAGTACATTATGAAAATGGTCCTATTATGAAGTATGATGCACCTACTGAGTAAGGGAAGAGTGGCACAATAGTTACGTCCAAAAAAGAAGGCACATTCGAAGAAAATACAGGAGATGAGTTTCCTACAGGTATTTTTTCCTCACATTGTGGTAGCTCATTAGTCACATAAATCCTATCAAGATATTTCATCTACCAGTTCACTAATAAATAGTGATACGTTCTAAAAATTCCAAATTCCTAGCCACTGAAGCTTTCATCATTTCTACTGAATGGTTCCTAACATTGCGTAAGATAAGTAATTTACCTTCGATATTGCTGTCTTGAAATTTCATCTCCACCAAATAAGTATACAGTTGATAGTTCTGTTGCAGTTTTATTATTGATTTCTCTGTCTGATGGATTATATATTAAAGTAACATCCTGAGGCCAAGAAAAAAAAAAACAGGAGTAAATATTAAATATCTTTCTTAAGTCATTTCACTCTGATTCAACAATCTTACGAGCCTACAAATTCGATATAGACACAAGGGCATATGCATAGCATTTCCAAGAACATATAAGTACTTCTACTTGTACATTATTTTCAAATATTATTTTAGCTTTTGGCCTTAAAATACATAATTATTAACTTAATTTTAAAATGAGTTGATGTTTTTAGCACAGAAATTTTTATACTTACTTCTTGTGTTCTTTCCTTGAGTACAAATTTATCTGGAAAAATCCTCAATACTTTAGGATCCAGCAAAACTTTTTTCTGAGGATCCTTAAAACCTACTGCTTTAACAAAAGCTGCTCGGGAGCCAGTGTTGCGGACAGAAAAAACGATTTTACTTTCTTTGCCAGGTACTAAGTCATTCACTGTTACCATGTAACTGTCAGATAATTTTTTAACGCCTTCCAAAATAAGATTACTTGTTCCTCCATATCCAGACAAAGGTATCTAAAAGAATATACATGTCCAAAATTATTTTAATGTAAGCAGAAAGAGGAACACTGAATTACAGTTAGAAGAAAATTCAGAAAGATTTAATACAGTTAAAAATTCTAAAGTTTGTATATTTTGGGTAATAGTTACCCATTTCCAGTCCAACAATATATTAAAGACTTCGTCTTAAGGAAAAAAACAAACCAAAGAGCTGCAAAAGAATTTGATTTCTGATTTGCTAAGAATGAACTATTTCAAAAGCCAAACTTAAATGACAGAGGAATAATGCAAAGATTAGTACAGAAATGTTTGCTTAAGAAGTTTATACACTAATATACTAAAATATACTAATACTTGCAATTTACTTTGAAATGCATTAAAAAGATGAACTGGTGGCTGGCAAGATGGCCAAATAGAAACAGCTCTGGTCTGCAGTTTCCAAGATCAATGCAGAAGGCAGGTGATTTCTGCATTTCCAACAGAGGTACCCAGCTCATCTCACTGGGACTGGTTAGACAGTGGGTACCAGCCCACGGAGGGTGAGCTGAAGCAGAGTGGGCTGTCGCCTTACCTGGGAAGCACAAGGGGTCGGGGAACTCCCTCCCCTATCTAAGGGAAGCCGTGAGGGACTGTACTGTGAGGAACAATGCACTCTGGCTCAGATACTATGCTTTTCCCGTGGTCTTCGCAACACGCACACCAGGAGAGTCCCTCTGGTGTCTATGCCACCAAGGCCCTGGGTTTCAAGCACAAAACTGGGCAGCCATTTGGGCTGGCTCCCTGGGTTCCAGTGGTGCCTGGAACGCAAGCGCGACAGAACCATTCACTCCCCTGGAAAGGGAGCTGAAGCCAGGGAGCCAAGGTCTAGATCAATGGATCCCACCCCCATGGGGCCCAGCAAGCTAAGACCCACTGGCTTGAAATTATCGTTGCCAGCACAGCAATCTGAAGTCGTCCTTGGACGCTCGAGCTTGGTGAGGGAAGGGGCATCTGCCATTGCTGAGGCTTGAGTAGGCGGTTTTCCCCTCACAGTGTAAACAAAGCTGCTGGTAAGTTTGAAATGGAGGGAGCCTACCACAGCATGGCAAAGCCTCTGTAGCCAGACTGCCTCTCGAGGTTCCTCCTCTCTGGGCAGGGCATCTCTGAAAAAATACAGCAGCCCCAGTCAGAGGCTTACAGATAAAACTTCCATCTCCCTGGGACAGAGCAACTGGGGGATATGAACAGACACTTCTCAAAAGAAGACATTTATGTGGCCAACAAACATATGAAAAAAAGCTCTTCATCACTGGTCATTAGAGAAATCAAAACTATAATGAGGTATCATCTCACACCAGTTAGAATGGCAATCATTAAAAAGTCAGGAAACGACAGATGCTAAAAAGGATGTGGAGAAATAGGAACGCTTTTACACTGTTGGTGGGAGTGTAAAGTTCAACCATTGTGGAAAATAGTGTGGCGATCTAGAACCAGAAATATCATTTGACCCAGCAATCCCATTACTGGGTATATATCCAAAGGATTATAAATCATTCTACTATAAAGGCCCATGCATACGTATGTTTACTGCAGCACTGTTCACAGTAGCAAAGACTTGGAACCAACGCAAATGTCCCATCAATGACAGAATGGATAAAGAAAATGTGGCACATATACACTATGGAATACTATGCAGCCATAAAAAGGGATGGGGTTCATGTCCTTTGCAAGGACATGGATGAAGCTAGAAACCATCATCCTCAGCAAACTAACACAGGAACAGAAAACCAAAGGCCGTATGTTCTCACTCATAAGTGGGAGGTGAACAATGAGAACACATGGACACAGGGAGGAGTGGATGATGGGTTGATGGGTGCAGCAAGCCACCATGGCATGTGTATACCTATGTAACAAATTTGCACATGTATCCCAGAACTTAAAGTATAATTAAAAAAAAAAAAAAAGATGAATTGATGGATGGCTAGATATGTGGGAGACAAAATATAGCAAAATGTTAACTGTAGAATCTAAGTGATAGTGTATGTGAGTGTTTAGTGTATAAGCCTTTCAACTTCGCAGTAATTCTGAAACTTTTCATAATAAAATGTTTTTGGGGAAACTCTATTTATAATTCTCTTAGTGTGCAGTCCAGCCAGTGTCAGAGAGAAACATGTAAAAAGGACTAAGCTAAAGACAAGAACTCTTAACGACTCTTGAAGGACAGATACACTGTCAACTGGGGAAGTAGCACACTAGAATCAGGCTTGGGAATCCATCTGCTGCTGCTTCCACAGGGCTCAACCCTTGCAGTAAGCAAGGCTTCACAGAATACACCTCATAAAGACAAATGTAAGGAAAACACCCTGCTGGAAACTTTCTATACTCTTTGAAATGCACATCTTTAACAACTATCTTTCATTCTGAATTACAGGTTGAGTATACCTTATTTGAAGTGCTTGGGGCCAGAAGTGTTCCAGATTTGGGAAAATTTACATTACACCGGTTGAACATCCCTAATTCAAAAATCCAAAATCCAAAATGCTCCAAAGAGCATTTCCTTCGAGCATCGTGTTGGCATTCAAAACGTTTCTGATTTTGGAGCATCATGATTTTGAATTTTCAGATTAGGGATACTCAATCTATACTAAAATAGGTTGCAAAGAATCCCTTGCAAACTTGAAACCATCATAACTTATTCTGAGTTGTGTTATGTACTTAATCAAAATAATATTTTGAAAAAGTAATTTCAGGCACCTCATCAATGTGCACTGTCTTGACTTTTAGTACAAATAAAAGGCATTTCAAGCTCAGCATAGTGGCTCACGCCTGTAATTCCAACACAGGGAGGCCAAGAGGGGCGGATCACTTGAGGTCAGGAATTCATGACAAACTTAGCCAACATGGTGAAATCCCGTCTCTACTAAAAATGCAAAAATTATCCGGGCATGGTGATGGGCGCCTGTAATCCCAGCTACTTGAGAGGCTGAGGCAGGAGAATCGCTTGAATCCGGGAGGTGGAGGTTGCAGTGTACTGAAATAATGCCACTGTACTCCAGGCCAGGCGACGGAATGAGACCATGTCTCAAAATAAATAAATACAAAGCATTTCAAAGGTTTTCAGATTGGAAACTCCTACAAATCCTCCCTCACTCAAAGTGACCTCTGGTAGTTTCAGCAGCAAAAATGTTTCTAATTTTCCCTTTTCCATAGAAACTTACAAGTAAGTTTATCTATAAAACTAAATAGCAAATAAAAGGGAAAAAGGTACCTTTGAAAACACTCATTGTAAGTATTCTGCCTGTATTTTTAAAGCCTAAGAAATCACAAAATTACTACTGAGTAACAAGGTTAAGAACAAAAAAAAAAATGATTGGCTGGCCTCGTGACTCACACCTATAATCCCAGCATTTTGGGAGGCCGAGGTGAGCGGATCATGAGGTCAAGATATGGAGACCATCCTGGCCAACATGGTGAAATCCTGTCTCTACTAAAAATAGGAAAATTAGCTGGGCATGATGGCGTGTGCTTGTAGTCCCAGCTACTCGGAAGGCTGAGGCAGGATAACTGCTTGAACCTGAGAGGCGGAGGTTGCAGTGAGCTGAGATCCCACCACTGCACTCCAGCCTGGCAATGGAGCAAGACTCTGTCTCACAAAATAAAAAAGTAAAGAAAAAAACAATGATTAAATGAAATAAATCTGACTCACACCAGTAAATCCAGATTAAAGAAGAGAAACCATTGTTCCTAACCTCAGTACTACTGAAATGTTGAGCTGTATGATTATTTGTGGTTAGAACTGTCCTGGGCTTTCTCGGATATTCACCTCTATCCACTTGGTGCCAGTAGCCTTCTTGTCCTGTCCCCAGTTATGACAAACCAAAAGTAACTCCAGATTCTGCCAATGTCCCCTAGCAGTAACACAAGCTCTGGTTGAGAACCACTGCTCCAATACATAAAGCTGTTATTAGTACCCTAGAGACTACACAATAAATAAATGTGTGCTCTGCATTCAGCCAGCCTGAATTTGAACCTTGTCTCTATCACTGACCAGCAAGTAAGATGCACGATCACAGCCACGCATCTCTTGCAGCCTCAGTTTACACATGTGCAGAATGGCAAGAGTAGTATTATCCTGGACAGTTGTTTTGAAGATAAAAATGTGACAATCCACCATCTTAGTCTATCAGTGTTGCTGTAACAGAATACTATAGATTGGGTAATTTATAAAGAACAGAAATTCATTCTTTACAGTTCTGGAGGCTGGAAGTCCAAGATCAGGTGCCGGTTTCTAGTGAGGGCTGCTCTCTGTTTCTAAGATCTCACCTTGAATCCTGCAAGTTCCAGAGAGGAGAAATGCTGTGTCCTTACATGGCAGAAGGTAGAAGGGCAAAAGGGCCAAACTCCTTCCCTCAAACCTTTTTATAACAGCATTAATCCATTCCTGAGGGCAACACCTCCCAAAGGGATCCATCTCCCTACACTGCTGTATTGCAGAGTAAGTTTCTAATACAGAAATTTGGGAGACACATTCAATCATAGCATCCACATAGTGATTGAGGGTAGTGCCCGGAATACAATCAACATGTAACAAATAATCAATACATTTTTATTTGCAGTCCCATCATGCTTTATGGTATTCAAAACACAGATCATTTCATTTGTTCCTCACAACCAAATTGGCAAGTTGGGACAGCAAGTAGCTGCTGATGAGATGAGAGAGGAAATGCCTAATCCAAGGTGAGTGTAAGTAACAGAGACAGGGCTGGCTCCCTGGGTTCTCCTGTCCAGCGCAGCTCATGGGGCCAATCAAGTGGCTCTACTGGAAACAGAGGTCAAGCTCCAGTGTCAAATAAAGCTGTAATACATATCTAACTTTAAAAACTTTTAGATATTGTTAATCTTGTAATTTATCACATTCCCTCTTTAACAATAGGATATAGAACCAAAATTTGAGCCCCAACCCCACTGCCAAACACTTGTGCAGTTATAAGGTATGCACATCCATGTAACTGGAGTTTCCTCCGACTGTCTTCCATTGCTTCCTTTCCTCTATGACTTATCACTTTCATCTCTAATTGCTGTGAATGTGTCTACACAATGGCTTTAAATCCTTTTTACCTATTATACTGACAATTAAAAAGCATAAAAACTCTCGTCTTTGTATCCCCAGCATCTGGAACAGAGGCTAGGAAATTTAGTCAATGGATATTTGGTATGGTCTAAATGGTGATGTCACCCCCCCAAATTCACATGCTGAAACCTAGTCCCCAGTGTGACAGTACTAAGAGATGTGGCCTTTGGGGAAGTGATTAAGCCATGAGGGCTCCTGCCCTGTGAATGGGCTTAATACCCTTATAAAAGACTGGAGACTTAATACCCTTCCCACTATATGTGGGCACAAAAAGGCAGAGGGCAACCATCACCAGACAACGCATCTGCTAGCACCCTGATCTTGGGCTTCCCAACTTCCAGAACTGTGAGCAGTAAATTTCTGTTGTTTATTATGAATTACCCAGTGGTATTTAGTTATAGCAGACTGAATAGACAAGACAGTATTTTTGTTGAATTGAAAAAGTAAAACTTAATGGGAAAGTTAGTATCTTAAACAGCTCCACCTGGATTTACCCAAAGATATATTCCTAAAAAGCTAGGTACATTTCAACGTTTCCAAATTAAAATGAAACTTAAAAGCATTAGAAAGACTGGTATGCTGGCTGCTTATTATAACTGTCCAATTCTGCAAGGCATATAAATTACTTCCTAACTTTTAAGTCTAGATAATTACGTATTTTCACTTATAAAAAGCAAAGTATATAACTTACAACATTCAACCAGTTATAACATGGCATAAACTCAAGGGGAAGGGAAAAGGAATAAAATGATCTTACTGTGAACTTAACGCCTGGTTGTGATCGATTTCCAAGTTGTTTGATTTCCAGTCTAGCCAACATGCAAGATAATCGAGTAGGTGCAAACAATACAGAGATGATAATGTCTTCCTTTGGGTGAATTCTGATCTCATAGTTACTGGTCAATCGCTGTTCTGAACCAAAAGTGTTCTGAAGCTAAAATTTAAAGACAGTCACTGCATATAACAAAGCAGTAGTACAAATAAAACATATCGTTAACACAAATTCTTAAGAGATAAATAACACAAAAGGGTCTACATATGTAAGTGATCCAGACCCTGATAAAACAGAAGACATAACAAGAGTCCATGTACTCTACGAACCTGAAAGCAGTCCTGATCTTGTCCTTTAATAAGCAGTCGTAAATGTTGAGTTGTAGATGCAGAATTATTTCTTAAAGCTAGTTTCAGAAGCCTAAAAACAATTACACATTTTAAATATGGTTTTCCTCCATGGATATTACTATTATCATAAAAACTAAGCCAAATAAAGCCAACCACAATGTCTAGAGATGGACTGACTACGTGAGCCATCTCAGCAGCCTAGTATTGTCTCTAGATTCTATGTTGCTGAAAATGTATGCTCAAGACTCACCATAGAGGCTTTTTGGTTTAATCTCTACCTAGTGATAGCTCTGCACCTGACCATATTATTTACACTATGTGTATAAATATCTGTCACATAAAACATTAATCAATGAAAATCCAGGTGAAGAAATTCATCAAGTCATTAAGTCAATGCCACACCTACCCTGAATACCTAGTTTATCCAAGTGAGCTTTCAGGGAAACAAGGGGTCCTAGGCTAAGAGGCTCATTTGCACAAAGTAGGGTTTTAAACAGTATATTGAAGTAACTCTACTTTTAAAGAAGCTGCAATGCACAAGAATGGACATATAATAGCAGCTGACTGATAAAAACACTACATTTGTTGAAACTGTGAATCCTGTCTTCACTAGAGAACAGAATACATGAGTAAATCTCTATTTTACTTAAATTTGGGGAAGATCAGCAGCTAATAAATCAGCAGCTGAGGTCTGTGTCTCATCTACCTTGTGTTAAGAGAAACACAGACAACTTTGGCTATTGACACCTCCAGGAAAAGCCTTTCACAGGTACAATGACTGGGGAAGAATCACCCGAAAGAAACATTATTTTGTAAAGTTTTCATTTTCATTTATTTATTTTGTAATTTGTAAAGCACTGTGGTTATCATTTGCAAGTACAGAGTTATCAGGTGGGATGGGAGAAGCTAGGTTTCCATGGAGTCACATCATCAGTTAAACGTGTTCAAATGTCAAGAACAAGCCAGTTACTGCTTGAGTGAAGTGTAACTGTTTCTGCCATAGGCTTCTGAGAGATGTTTCTTTCAGAGACACTTTTAAAGATAAACCTGTGCAATACAGGGAGTCTCAAGAAACAAAACAAAACAAAACCACCAAACAATTTTACAGTAAATACTACCTCCCATTTCTTAAGGTGCCCCTCTCCCTTAGGTGCTCCATTCGCTGTGGTCGGGAAGTATGACACTCAAGTCTGGTGCATCAAAAGCACTTCCATGGGTTTTGCTAAAACCATGTGGTTGCTGACTGGGAAATTTAGGTCATTTAGAAGAATGGATATACTGCATATTCTCTATGCAGTTCTCCATAAATCTCTCTCTCGGCTGGCTTTTGAAAAATACAGAGTGGCAGTGAGTTTAAGCGGATACTCAGTCTTCAGCAGCAACTATATGGTTGGTCATGTGTCAGGTGCTCTTTGCAGGACTGGAATATATGTTAAAGAAAAGCTCAATCAGGACACATGCCCATCTAGGAGGCTTTTCCAGTTCTGCACAATTGAGCCTGAAGAGTATCTATTATGACAAAATTTTCCTGCAAACATTAATTTGTGGTCTGCTCCAAAATATGTACAAATAGTGGACTGACCATGTGTCAATCTTTGACACTTACTGTGTTCTACCAAGAGGGACTCCTCCCCAAGCCAGAAATTGTTTGTTGGACAAAATTGATGGAATATCTAAGCAAGGTCCAAGTGACAGCGGTTTACTTTCTGAAGAAACGACTTCACCTTTTAACACTACTTCATACTGAGGTCCAAATGGCTGCACAAATATTTTCAAGATCCTAAGAAAGAAAGAAATCTGAATTGAAGGTCCTGTATTTGATTTCTTTTTGCGACTGTTTCCTACATGTTTGCGTTGTCCAAAAGAGCGAGCTAGGTGTTGAGGATATGATGAAATTCCCACCCTTAGAGCTTGCGCTGCAGAGAATAAAGACAAGGAGAGAGACAATCGCAATGGCACCTGCACAGGGGGTGTGAGAAACCACGGAGTTTTAGGAATGCTATTTTTGAGACATTTGGGAAGAGTGGAGGAAAGCCTCCCAGAAGGAGTCAGCCCAGGGAAGCTGAGGGCAAGCATTCCAGGCACAGGCATTCATACTGGTGCAAGCAAGACTCTCCTCTTCTGTAAGGTCACAAGAGCAGACTGAGCACATGATAAAGTGTTCTACAACCCAGGCAGGGGGATAAGCCACATGTGTCTCAGAGGAGAGTATACTTTAAGTTACGGTTACACAAGCAAGCTCAGTACTCATGCCAGTGGTGCTCTAACTCTAATTTGATATTCACTTATGATTTGGGTGCTAAGAAGTCATGGGCCTGGAGAAAAAATGGGGAAAGGTATCTTAACAGCTGACAAGGTCAACTAACAGTTTCGGGAGAAAAAGTGAATGAGAAACACCTCTTATTATTTACTTTTGTCAGAATATACTTGAAAATAATAATTTATTCATTTCTATTCAACTGGTTTAAAAGATTTTTAGTTAAAAAAAGAAGATAATCTGAAGCTAAATAAAAGGAAATTAAACAGAGTCATACCATCTATTAGGTAGAAAATATATGGACTTTGTCATTCAGGTTGTGGAATTTTAAAGCACATCTAAGTAGGTGGCTGTTTTGAGAGACGAGTAAAACTTTGTCATTTTAACTTTTTTTTTTTTTTTTTTTGGAGACGGAGTCTCGTTCTGTTGCCCAGGCTGGAGTGCAGTGGCATAATCTCAGCTCACTGCAACCTCTGCCTCCTGAGTTCAAGCGATTCTCCCAACTCAGCCTCCCGAGTAGCTGGGACTACAGGTACATACCACTATACCTGTCTAATTTTTGTATCTTTAGTAGAGATGGGGTTTCGTCATGCTGCCTAAGCTGGTTTCAAACTCCTGACTTCAGGTAATCCACTTACCTCCGCCTCCCAAAGTGCTGGGATTACAGGCATGAGTCACTATGTCCAGCCCATTAAAACATTTTTATATTACCTTTCCTCAAAGGCTTCAGGATCCTTTGGAGTAAATGAAACAATAACCTCATGTTCTTCTCCAGGTTTAAGGAACAGATTCTTAGGATCCACTGAAAAGTGACTTCCTTGTTCTGGGACCTAAACATAGTGACAGAATCATAACTGAATGTCAACTTACAGAAATGTGGCTTTCACTCAGTCACTCCTGCCTTATGTGCCTTTCTCATTTACTAGGACAGGTTGTTTGTCCCCTCCTCATCTGTCACAGCCTCAACTTGTCCTATTCTCTTGGAAAGAATATTCCTTTCTCTTCTATAACAAACCTTATCTTATACCTCACCCCAAATTTCAGATCACTAACTCCCTCTCACACTCATCCTCAGGTCTCAGAAATGATGTCAACCTGTGTGGATCACTCTTCACCAACTCCAACCAAAGGGTGACATGCATGTTTTTCAGTAACTAAGAACTTGGTTCTCATATTTAAGACACTGGACTCTAAACTTAAAAGCACCACAGCATATATTTACAGTTTTTAAAAGCTCTCAGTCATTCTTTCATCTGATGCTCAGGGCACTCTGACAGGCCAGGTGGACCACAGCAGCCTGTACAAGGTAAGGAGCTCTCATAGTCTGAGGAAAGACTATCTTATAGCACTCTGACAGAAGTGCATACCTTGATATCCAAATGAACTTCAATGTTCCCAGCATTTTTCAAAGGTAAGTGCTGCTTTGTTGAGGAAGCCACTTTGGCCAACAAATGCATCGTCTGGAGGATGGGGCAAGACAGACATTTCAACAAACTGTCACAAAGTGAAAGCAGCATGAAGGAAAGCAAACGGTAGAGAGGAGGAATGAGACTACCTGCAAGTCCCTGGGAGCGTGGATCCTAGCTATTCCTGCTCTTGCTCGGAGACTCACACTTCTAAGAACTGGTGTCGGGTTTGGGCTGTCAACTTCTATATCAACTTTTGCTAAGAATTCTTCTGCTGAGTCCAGAATCTCTAAAAAATGTCATTCTTTTAGCTCAGAGAACAGAGTTATTTAATTGTAATTGCCATCAGCAGTCCCATACAGTGCCCTTAGGGGCAGTAAGAAGATTTAGGCAAGAATTTTTTTTTAAGAGTTAAAAGAATAGAAATGAGTGAAGAGAAAGGTGGAAAAAGAAAGAAAACATCCACCTGGTAAATGTGATAAGATAAATTAACACAAAATATTCCAAAAGGTTTTCAGTGCTGCCTGCACTGAAAATCCTGCCACACTTACACAGGATTGACCCTAAATGGCATGCCATCTGCCTCATTTTCAAAACAGTCTACAATACTTGACAAATTTCAAAGTATTGACATTTATTGACAAAGGAAATAAGTCTCAAATTTGTAGTTTATTTAGCTACAGATTAAAGCAATTCCTACAAAAGGTAAACATGATACCTGAAGAGCTGATCTGTTTCTTTGGAGTATGGAAAAGAACCCAAATCATCAGGAATTCTGGATCCTATAAAATTAAAGAAAAATCTGTCTTAACATAAACTGGTATTAAGACTAAAATCTTAATGAAAGAAAAGCAGTTTAGAAGCTTAATTTCCTCTTTATTTCTAAGCCAGTTCTCTCCTACCTGTCCATCATAACTAGCAGGCATCATATAGTTGACCACAGAAGGGCCTGCTAGCCGAGTGACCACATCAGCGCAAGAAGCAACTTCTGCAGGCGCTCGGACGGGTTCCTTGGAAAACGTGAAACAGTGCCAGGCTATGGCATTCTGTTTAGAAATACAAGAATCAGTTCAGTAAAGCCAACAGTGTAATGCAAACTTTGTTAACAAAATCCTTTAAAAAAATGTACCTTCGTAAGATCAGTGCATTCTGGAAACAGTTCCTTACTATATGTCATACTTACAGCATTAATAATCAGTCTAATTGGTACAGTGGCATGCGTCCGGTTTATTAATTTTAGTGGGAGGGATTTCCAGCCTCCGTAAGTCAAGTCACCAAAATCAAGAACATTTTTCTTTTCTGTTTCTACCTAATTAACAAAAAAAGGGATTTATAAAAAGCAATATATTAATAAACAGCACAACACATATGTTCATATCACTGCCATTTCTAGCCACAAAGTATGAGTCAGCATTAAGTAAAACTTACCTACATTTTCCCAGGCTATTTAACAATTACTTATTTTCTACAAAAATAAATGTTAAATTCTTCTTTTGAGGTAGTCTATGTACCCAAATATACTACAGAATTAAGCTGCTGTTACTTCGTAAGCACTTTATCTTAAGATGAACTGGTAATTTTATTAAATTATAGACCCCTTTTCAATGAGTTCTATTATTACAATAATGATTTCTCAATATCCTTCAAAGATATCATTAATGTCTTGGCATTTTCAGATTTAATCTGCAAATGTTAAAATGGTATCAAAACAGACATATCAAAAATTTAAAACAAGTGCCGACGATCATGACAGACTCACTTCCCTAAATGCGGGAAGCCAACCTAACTCAGACCCCTCACAAACCCACGTGTGGAAATGTTTGACAGTACAGGAACCCCTGCCAGATATCAAAATCGATGGGTGTCCCTGACATGAAATGTCATAGTATTTGCATATAACCCAGGCACATCCTCCTATATATTTCAAATCATCTCTAGGTTACTTATAGTACCTAATACAATGTAAATGCTATGTAAATAGCTGTTATATTTTATTGTTAGAGAACAATGACAAGAAAAAAATGTCTATACATGTTCAACACAGATGCAACTGCCCTTTTTTTTATTCTGAATTATTTTGACCCAAGATTGGTAGAACACAAGAATGCAGAACCCACAGGTACAGAGGGCTAACTATACTACACACACACACACACACACACACACACACACACACACACACACGTATTTTGTTTTGCTCGAGCCAAAGACAAAATAAGTAGAGACCAAAGGCAGACCAGCAAGTGGGAGCTGACTTCCATTGAGCCCCAGGAAGGTCTGGGTTCAAGGAAGCCCTCAAGGTGGTAGAGCTTTAATACATTCCAGAGAACCAAAGAAGAAAAGATGTGACTTCAAGCTTGTTGTGAGCAGGGCGAGGCTGGAATGGAATTTGTAATCTGTGCATAAAGCCCAGAAACTCAAAGGAATAAAATGAAAAGGGAACTGAAAAAAAATTGTTCACATGTCTATGGAGTTAACAAGGTACCTGTCCAGAGATGAGTAGCATAGAAGATTACTTGCAAGAACATGAAAGCCTAGGCCTAGGTCACACTGGACATGAGAGCCCCAAGCTAAAAAAAAAAAATCACAAAGGCTTTCAACATCTCCAACATTTCTGCAAAAGTACTCTCTAGGGACACTTCTAAAGACTAGGACACATCATGGGTTTCCTAAAGTAAAAAGCAGCCTCAATGAATGTGAACTCACATTAAAAAATTTTAAATATCAAAAAATTATAATCTACTGGAAGAAAATCAGGAACACTTAGCAAAAGTAACTCGTAGATGCATTAGTAACCCAAGAACTAGAAACATGAAATAAACTATGAAATAAGTTCACTTTAAATGTAGACAACAGAGTCCATAACAGAGGGAAAAGCAAGAGATTCATGAAGCAATTGTGAGCAAAATGACGTATAAACAGCTTGATAAATCTGTTAACGATGTTAATGTTGGGACTGTAAAAACTGTTTAGAACTAAAACATTCGTCAAAGGTAACATGGAAGGAAAAGAGGAGCATCTAAATGAGATGCTGTTTTCATCTTGTTGGAAGAGTCTGCTTTAGTCATCTCATTATTGAAGTTATACATATTAATGTTGAAAATAAGCTATTTGAGGGGGTTCAGGTGGTAACATGGCATTTTGAATACTGGCTTCCTTTCTTGCAGGCTTGATTTGCCTGGTGACTAAATTACTAGTGACTAGTTTACTAACTGGGCCATTCAAGGAAGTCAGGTTAACATAAAAGAAACATGTCACCTGAATGCACTTAATGGTGTTGAAATGTCCACCTTCTTAAACTGTGTGATGAAATTAGTTCTAAAGAAGATAGCAGATCAATACTGAAGTACTCTCTGTTTGTTGCAAAATCTCATGTTTTGGATGTTATATGAGTCCTATTTGCCTGAGTTAATTTAACCTTTTTCTGCCTATCTTAGGGACTGGCTGTCTCTTTCAGAACTCTGTCCAAAGAGTGCATGGAATATAATTTGTAAAGCCTTCCACACCTGACAGTATCTATATGTGTGTGTTTAAACCAATTCTTGAAAGCTTACAATAGAGCTACATAGTAACAGTATTTATTAAAGAATCACAATTGTAAACATGAGCATAACTTAATAGATTCTAGTTTAGTTCTTCTGTAACTACAGCCTTGTATTTTTGCTGTTGTTATATTAGAATAATTTTTAAATGTTGTCTTTAAATAAAAATATGTATTTTAAGCACTCATGCAAAAAATGAACACTTTTTAAATGTGTGTTTTCTCCATAAGAATTGTAAACATTAAACAAATCACCTATAATGGAATTGATTAATGACTTCTGAGCAAGTTGCTTTGGCCAGACAACATACAAAAACTTTTATATATCAGAAATATGTGCACTCCTATGTTTGCTGTAGCACTGTTTACAACAGCTAAGATTTGGAAGCAATCTAAATGCTCATCAACAGATGAATGGATAAAGAAAATATGGTACACATAAAAAACGGTGTACAATTCACCCATAAGAAGAATGAGATCCAGTCATTTGCAACAACATGAGTGGAAGTAGAGATCACTATATTAAGTTAAATAAATCAGGCACAGAAAGACAAACATCACATGTTCTCACTTATTTGTGGGTTTTAAAAATGAAATCAATTGAACTTATAGAACAGAAAGATGATTACCAAAGGCTCAGAAGGGTAGGGGTTAGCAGTGAGGTGGGGATGGTTAATGAGTACAAAACAAATAGAAAGAATGAATTAAGACCTATTATTTGATAGCACAATAGGATGACTATAGCCAGTAATAATTGTATATTTTAAAATAACTTAGGGAGAGAGATCCAAGATGGCCCTTTAGGAACAGCTCGGAGTTGCAGCTCCCAGTGAAAGCGCAGAGGGTGAGTGGACGCCACATTTTTATTGCCCACGGACCAGGAGATTCCCAGGCGGAGGAGCCCCACGGGTCGCCGGCGCGGCTGTTGTGGCCAGCGCAGTTCTTTTGGTCATCTGGGCTGCTTTGCCCCGCGTGGCTGCTTTGTTGGCGCCCCTGCCGGCGGTTCTCCATACAAAATACACTGGTCCGGGTGCCCTTTTGGCTTGCGATTGGAGCCCCGGGAAGTCGCACATTCATCTGATTAAAGAGGGGACTGAACAGGGAGTCAGGCCAGGAGATTCCTGAGCAAAAAAAGCGCCGTGAATCTCAGCGGCGCTGTGTAAGCCGGCGCAGAAGGTCGCCGCACGGGAAACAGATCCCGGTGCCCTTTCAACATGCGACTGGAACACCTGGGATAAAAAAGAAAAAAAAAAAAAAAAGGCTCTGAGGCAGGGAGCCACGTAATCAGGCTCAGCTGGTCCCACCCCCACAAAAGAACAGCAATCAGAAACTGTCTGGATTGAGAGTTTCACAGCAAGAGCAGCTGAACCCAGGACAGTCCAGCTCTGTGGGGGAGTGGTGTCCGCCATTACCTAGGCACTCCACCACTACGGATGCCATTGCTGAGGCAGCCTGCCGTTGCCAAGGCAATCCGCCATTGCTGAGGCTGCCTGCCGTTGCGGAGGCAACCTGGCATTACAGAGACAGTCCGCCAATACAGAGGCGGGCCACCATTGCCAAGGCAGTTCTAACTATGCCCATATAAACAAGACTGCAGCTCAGCAAAGCCTTTATAGGCAGGCAGTGACTAGGATGCCTTCTTGCTATGCAGGGCAGCCCTGGAAAAAAAAAAAAAAAAAAAAGGCAGCAGCACAATGTAAACTCATAAATAAAGCCCTAACTCCCTGGGACAGAGCACCTGGGAACAAAAACCGGTTTATGAGTTCTGCAGCAGACTTAAACGTACCTGCCCAGCAGCTCTGAATGAACAATGGAGCTCACAGCTGACCACTTGAGCTCCTATAAAAGACAGACTGTCTCCTCAAACAATGCCCTGACCCCTGAACATCCAAAGAGTCACCTCATAAAGGAGAGAACAGACTGACATTTGGCAGGTATCCTTCTGGGACAAAGATAGCAGAAAAAGAAACAGGTAGTAACCCGTATTGTTCTGAAGCAGTTGCAGGCGATCCCCAGGCAAGCAGGGCCTGGAGTGAACCTCAGTAGTCCTACAGCAGAGGGGCCAGACTGTTAGAAGGAAAACTAAGAAACAGAAATAATTTCATCATCAACAAACTAGACGTCCACTCAGAGACCCAACCTGAAAGTCAGCAACTACAAAGACAACAGGTAGGTAAATCCATAAAGATGGGAAGAAACCAGCACAAAAAGGATGAAAACACCCGAAACCAGTACACCTCTCCTCCTACAAAGGATCACAACTCCTCACCAGCAAGGGAACAAGGTTAGATGGAGAATGAGTGTGATGAAATGACAGAGTCAGACTTGAGAAGGTGGGTAGTAAGAAACTTCTGTGAACTAAAAGAACATGTTCTAACCCAATGCAAAGTAACTTAGAACCTTGAAAAAAGATTTGACGAAATGCTAACGAGAATGGACAACTTAGAAAGGAATATGAGTGAATTGATGGAGCTGAAAAACACAACACAAGAACTTCGCGAAGCATGCACAAGTTTCAACAGCCGAACTGACAAAGCAGAAGAAAGGATATCAGAGGTCGAAGATCAACTCAATGAAATAAAACAAGAAGGCATGATTAGAGAAAAAGGGGTAAAAAGGAATAAACAAATTCTCCAAGAAATGTGGGACTACGTGAAAAGACCTAATCTAAGTTTGACAGGTGTACCTGAATGCGACAAAGAGAATGATCCATGCTAGAGAATACTCTTCAGGATATTATCCAGGAAAACTTCCCCAACCTAGCAAGG